GAACTTCGCCACGTTGGTCAGCTCCACCCCCGCCAAGTCAGTCACATATGTCTGGCAGGGGTGGGGTAGGGTTTGTGGTGGGTTTTTTTTTTGTCATGGCTTTTATGTGTTGGGTTGCGTGGGTGGGGCGGGGCGGGGCATCACAGGCAGGAGAGAGGGGAGGGGCGGCGAGGGTGAGGAGGATTAGTGCTGGAAGAGGGGGAGGGGTTGTGGTCAGGGCGAGTGTGTGTGTGTGTGTGTGTGTGTGTGTGTGTGTGTGTGTGTGTGTGTGTGTGTGTGTGTGTGTGTGCGTGTGTGTCTGTCACACCTTGACGCTAAGGAGCAGAGGCAGAAGAGGCCTGTGGTACATGTTGTTGCCGCCAAAGACCGCGAGACTAGCCATCGGCAAACTGCCCGCAATACGCTCGACGAAGATAGAGCTCGCCCAAGCCACGGCTGGCGGAGAGATAACGGCGGGCGAAGGCAGCCAAGCCAGCCGGACGGCGTCAAAAGCCAGCAAGCCTGTACAGGGGACCGGAGAGTCAGCATCTCGCAACCCCCCTTGCACCACGGCCGGCGCGGTGACGCCTCCGTCCCCATCCCCGCCGCAGACGAGGACAGACGAGCCTGTAACCAGCAGCGCTCTGAGCCTCTTTTAGGCCTTAGTCCTTAGCCCTTCTGCAGCCCGCATAGCCGCGCCAAGCGATATCATCGACGTGCGGCCTCCGCCCGGGCAGTGGCGCTGCGCTGCCGGGATGGCGTCCCAGCTGAGCGAGGCGAGGTCGAGGGCAAACATGACGGGCGCGCAGACGGCGTCCACGTCGGAGCGGCCGCCAAAGAGGAGGACGCGCCTGAGGATTCCGAGACGCTTCGCGGGAGGGCAGGGGAGGGAGGAGGAGGGAAGGACAGGGAAGCGGCAGGGAGAGGGGGCGGCTGCGCGCGCCCGGCGGCGCAAGCGGCGGAGTGGAAGCAGCGCGGAGAGGGGACTGCTGCCGTGCTGCCGCCCGTGCGCACCCTGCTCCACGTGGGCGTGGCGACCTACGGGGGTTCCGACGCGTCATGCACCGAGCCGCATGCCCGCTCCTCCCACCGCCCACGCCTCTGCCGCACCGAGAGGAGCCACAAGTCGTCCAGCACGGCGCCGCCCTCGCCGCAGCCGCCATGGACTAGCAGCCGGGGCGGGGCACTCACGAGCGCCGCCGCGTGCGCGCAGCGCGCCGGCGGCGGCTCGCCGCGGCTCTCGACGCACACCCAGGCCTGGTCCTCGCCGCGAAACTGCCAGACGTCGTTGAGGTACGCGACGGGGTTGCCTTCGTCCACCGCCGCGCCGCTGCTGGCGCGCGAGCGGCGGCGCGGGTACCGCTTTGGAGGCAGCGGCGTCGCGCCTCCAAACACGAGGAAGGCGCGCGAGTCGATGGCGGTGGCGGTGTGGAAGGCACGCCGCTGCGGCCACGAGGCGGAAGCGCCGCGAGAGAGTTGGCGCCACGTCATGGCGCTGTCCCTCGCGTCGAGCACGTGCAGGTCGTCGTAACACTCGCTGCCCGCGCCTAACCGCGGGGAGGGATGAGTTCGGTTGGCGCGCCGCGGGGCACGCGGGTGTGGCGTTGGCCGTCGCACTGTCGGAAAGCGCAGCGGCATTAATGCCACCAAACACGTAGAGCAGCGCGCGCTGTGGCAGTTGTTGACCCCACTTCAGAAGCCTGCACGATGAGTGGCCTTGCCGCGGCGACGGAGGCGTGCCGCCAACTTCGAGCTCCTCCCAAAGCGCCTACGGTGAGAGCCTCTTCTCACGCCTTGTGTTTTTGTGCGCGTCGCCCGCACGCGTGTGTTTGTGTGGCGCACACGTGTAGCGCGCGCGCATGCTGCGCGCGGTTTGCGCGTGTGTCCTGACCTGCGCATCGTCGACCGGGAAGACGAAGGCTTCGTCGGCCATGATGGAGACGCCTGTGGCTCCGTCGCCACTGCCGCTGCCTCCGCCTCCTCCACCGCCGTCGCTGCCTAATCCGCCGCCGCCGCCGCCGCCGCCGCCGCCGCCGCCGCCGCCGCCGCCGCCGACAAAGTTGCCGCCGAAGTCGCCGCCGCGATCGCCTCCGATGCTGCTGCTGCCGTTGCCCTCGATGATCGAGAGATCGACAGATTGAGCTAGCCAACCCATCGCATCGCTGTCTTGCTTCTTCTGACGTTTGCGGTACGCCTGAGCGTGCTTGTGGCAAAGGCGCACGTCGTTGCCACCGAGGCAAACGGTCTTCTGGTTGTCACGTGTAGGAGTTTCGCCACGCTTGCGACAAACGCCGCAGCCCAGCATGAGCACTGCGGAAAAACAAAAATTCCGAGCAAAAAAGAAGTTGGCAGCCCGTGCACCGGCATGAAAAAGACTTTTAGCAAAGAATGTACCGGCGCCCGCTTTCGCTCGCGCTAACCTTCGCATTTTTTTTCTGTCGCGAGCGAGACTGCTCGCGGCTTGCCCACCTTGTTGCGAGCGAGACTGCTCCGCGGCTACCTTGTGCATAATGGCCTCGGGTCGTGCCCACCTTGTTCGGTCGTGCGCGCGCACCAGCCAAAGTGCATAATGGCCTCGGGTGCAGTGCCTCTGGCGAGGGCCAGCCGCGAAGATGTGCAAGCGGCAACCGGCGAGAGCGCCGCTCCTTCGCCAGCGACTGCCCGTGCGCGATCAGCAGCCTCCGGCCCGTGCTTCTACAGCGACGAGGCGTCCTCTCAAGCTTCCGGGCCAATCCATTCGCCATTCACCGAGACCAACGTCGAGAAGGTGTTGGAAGTGCGCGCCCAGCTGATGCAGACGTGGCACACAATCGTGCCTCCGAGCACGCACCCGCGATTGTACGGTCGGGGCGACTTTGGCTTCAGCGTTGCGTGTACACCCGCGCTGCTCTCGGAGGCCGGAATCGACACAAGCTGGAGCACGTCACAGCAGTTGGACTGCCGCCTCTCCCTATTCCATCTGTACGTCGATGCAGGGCTGCAGCCTATAAATTTGGTTGGTGCCAACAACCGGCAGTTCTACTCACTGCCCGACCGTGTAAGGTACATGGTGCAGCGCCATCCCGACTGCCTGCATGTGCCTGAAGGCCCTCGCGGTACCTACTTCGTTCCGATCAACCCGGCTTGGATGCAGCGTTGCGGTGAGCGGAGATATGGTTTCCCGATGTCCCTCGCCCGCATCGTCCACCATCGAATCCGAGAGACCATGACTCGCGACAGCTATTCCCTGTTAACGGGCAGCTTGGATGTGCCACAGCCGTCTGGCAGATACTACAACCCGGCAGACTGGATCCAAAGATGGAACGCGTCCCTTGGCATTTGCGAGTTGTGTGGCATCGACATCTACCTATCCGCCATGTCTGAGTGGAGCGACCCGGAATGGCTGGCGGTCAACACGCCGCCACCACGGCGGGCACTCGCGACAACGCAGCGAACCGGTAATACGACTATGCACCTCGCGTCCAACTTGCACGACAAATTGGTATGTGCCGGCTGCAACAGTCGGACAAATTTCAACCCAAACTACCCTTTGGGTACGCCGATGCGCCACGTGCACCAGTGGAGCACCGAGGCGGCAGACGGTGCGGCGAGGGAGGGATGGGGGGCGGGGGAGGCACAACACGAAGAGATGGAGCCTCAGCTGCCCTCGGGCGCCCAGCCTTGGACTGGCCCGCAAGCGTCACCAATCTTTGTCCCGCTCTTCGCAGCAGCTGCCAGCCGCCTCTCCTCTAATCAGCCGATACCGCGCGATGCGATGCACCCCCAACTGCATGCCGCGGACAAAGTCCATTTTTTGGGGTATGTCGAGGTTGTCGCAACCACCGCGCGGCACGATGATAGTCTTGCGACGCTGCTGCATGCGTTCCTGCGGGATTTGCAGCCCATGCCGCAGTACGAGTTCTGTGGAGGGTATTTGGGGGCGGAGCGGCAGCAGGCAGTTTCTCGGGAATTTGAGGCTGCATTGTCTCGCGCGGACACAGAGGGTGGAGCGGCGCAGCACCTCGTTTTCGAGATGTGGGTGCTTGAGGCGCTGCGGCGCATGCAGTTGGAGAGGTGAGATTTGCATGTACCTTCGTACCTTACCCGGCCTGCCCTTAAACTTTACCACCATCAGATTAGATACTTAGAAAGGCAAAGGGGAAGAACAGCCTAGCTAACACTAGGCACGTCCTATGCGCCGAGTGCGAGGCGGTGAAGGGGGAGAGGAGGGAGCACCACCGGGCGATGAGGAAAGGCGCGGCGGACGTGCTCAAGGCGCTACGATGGACGCCGCCGAAGTCAAGGAGGCGGACACTCGCCCACACCGCAGAGTGCGAAGCCCAGGCGCTCGCTGTACGCGCCATTGCTGGGGCGACGAAGAGATGCGCGGGGAGAAGGGAGAGCGACGAGGAATGGGAGGCGATGGAGCAACTGCTAGCTGGACGACTACCCGAGCCGAGTGTGATGGACCAGGACCCGCCAGAAGACATCATGAGGGAGTATGACACACGGGTGGTGACTTCACTCAAGGCACTGCAGCAGACGGCGGCATCAATAATCAAAGTACGGGAAGGGAAGAGGAAGGGACTCGAGGCGGAGAGGAAGGAACGAGTAGCCGCGGAAACAGAACGCCTGAGAGAGGGACAGAAGGAAAGGAAGGAGAGGATACGAGAAATGGAGTGGGCGGCGAATGCGTGTATTTGCTGGCGACGGAGGCGACATCGACAACGTGATGCCGAGGAGAAGGAAAGGGAAGAGGCAGAGAGACGCCTCGAAGCGGGGAGAGGCAGAACGACGAGAGCGATGGGGATGACACTCAAAACGACCCACTGCGAGCTCGAAGGCGAAGGCCAGCGCAGGAAACGCGGTGAGAGGAACGACGATGCGGCGAGCGCCGGAGGGAAGCGACGACAGCGAGGGGACGAGGACGGCGAGCAGAGAGGAGAACAGACGGCGAGCGGCGCACGCGAGGGCGACCACGCAGGAGAAAACAGACGGGACGAGGGGAAGGAAACGCGGCCCGCCAGGAAGCGAAGGCAGACGGCAAGATACGTCGCCGGACCAGCGACAGGAAGCGCAGGAAAACAAAAAGAACAAGACCAGGAGCATGGAGACGAGGGAAGGCGCGAGGCGCTCCGCCGACAAGCAGCAGAGGCGGCGGCGAAAGTAACGACGGCCATGCTAACGACGGGCGGCACGGTGGAAGGGGCGAAGGTAGGCCCCTCTAGCATAGCGGAAGGCGAACTTGGCCTACTGGCGACGAGGAGGCTAGAGAAATTTGAGGTGTGTAGCATCTACACTGGGGAGATCTTCCGGACAGGAACGGCGCAGCCACCAGAGACAGTACCAGACGAACTATCACGACACACGGCAGCAGGGGGGACGCAGCTGGATGGAAGTGACGACGAGAGCGGGGACGACTTTGACAGCGTCGCGGCGCGGTGTAACTTCGACTGGCCTGCAGCATCGAATGAGCCGAAACGAGGCACGAGGGCGACGCACTTCGTACGCTACGAGGAGATACAATTAGGCAAGGCAGCTGCGCAGGTGATGGTCCTGTTTGCAGAGAGGGGAGTCAAGGAAGGCCAAGAAATCACATGGTCATATGGGGACTCATACAGGAGCCACCGCAAGGAGATGGGATACAAGGCGGGGACCAGGGCGGATCCGAACGCAATAACACCCCAGCAAGCACGGACGGCATTCGCGAGATACTGCAAAAAGATAGACGTGACGAAGGAGGAGCTAGCGTGGAACTTTGGATGCATATCGGCAAGCCAAAATAACGAGCAGGAGGCTGTCCTGGTGCGTGAGCTAATCCTGAGCAACAATAAGCGACTGTACCACGGAGCACAGAGCGCAGCAGACAGGACGGCGGCGACGGCGGACATGGCAGAGACGAGTGTGAAACAAAGGGCGGCGGGCATGGAGGGCGGTAGCGACGGGGATGGAGACGGTGACGGTGGCGAGGGAGAGGAAGGGGGTCCATTAACACCAGACAGCGAGAGGGGCAGGGAGGAAAGGGGGAGAGAGGAAGCCAACGCGACGTGCGCAGAGGATGAGGATATAAACTGGGACGACGCAGCGGAGGGGATAGGCGAGGGAATCGAGGGACCGGAGGGCTTTCGCGACAGCGACGATGACGACGAAGAAAGGGGAGGGGACGGAGGGGCGACACGCAGGAGGAGCGAAATCGCTAACGGCCCGAGCAGAGAGGGCGACGGCGGGGCACGAGGGAACAACGGAGACGCTACCGATGACGCGAACCGAGGCACGGACGCCGGCGGGGACGGGGAGGGCGACAGCGACGTCGAGGTTGACGCAACCGTATCGAGAGCGCCACCCAAAAAGGGGCGGACAGCCATGGAGGTCACCGAATGGAGGGCGAACGGCACGATGCGAAAAGGCAGGGCGAGGCGGATGGAGAAAGAAGTGCCGAGAAGGCCATGGTGGAGGGGAGGGACGGGAGGACGAAAGAAGGGCGAGGAGGACGAGCGGCCCGCACAGACCGCGAGCAGACAGCGCCTGCTGGCCATTTCGAGACATTCGCCAAGAACGCTAGCTACATGGGAGGGCTTCGTGAAGGATGGATTGAAAAACATTCGAACAAAGAAGAGGCGACGGGAGGAACCGGCGGAGGATGCAGTGACGTGAGACACACACACACACACACACACACACACACACACACACACACACACACACACACACACACACACACACACACACACACACACACACACACACCGCTCACCCACGCGCACTGGGCCTTGCACTTTGAATGCCGTGGGGCTCCTGTCGTCAGACGTGGAGACGCGAGGGTTGCCCCCCCTTGCCCCACCACCTCGTGTGTGTGGAGAAGTTTACCTTACCTTACCTTACCGGGGAGGGGCGGCGTGGCGATCCAATGCCGCTGCCCTCGCCCGAGGAGTCGGGCATGGAATCACCGTCGGTGATGGCGACAGAATCGGACAGAGAAGACGAGACGGTGGCGGGGCCGCGGCTGAAAAAGGCTAGGAGGGGAGGTCGGGCCCCGCGCCCGTCGGATGATCATCGGAAAGCGAACAAGAGGAAGAACTCAGAGGAGAGGGGAGCCTCCTCCGGAGTGAGGATGAGGACCTCGTGCGAAGGGGTCCTGAGCGGTGACGTCGTGTGAGAGTGCGTGTCGTGTTCATTATAGCTCCGAGTAGAGGGGGCGGTCTGCTGCTAGGGGAAACCCGGAGCGCGGAGCCAACCCTCGGAGACCCGTGTTTACTTTACAGCCCTTGCCCTGCGAACGCGCACCCCCGGGGCTAGGGCTCTCTAGCAGCAGCAGCACCACCACCACCAACAGCAACAGAGACAGGCAGTGCAGGCGCAGAGGCGCTCGCAGAGCGGCGCTCAGCGCCGCGCACGCCACGCTGCGGACCGTCGGACGAGCGCACCGTACGTCGGCGGCGAGCCGCGTCGCCAGCCGTCTCGCGAGAGAGCGGCGCCGCCGCGTGCGCGCAGCAGCCGCCGCGGCAGAGGCGAGCCGCGGCGACGTCCGCACTAACGGATAACGGCCATTGGCGGTTTTCTAACTCTCTCTCTCTCTCTCTCTCGAGAACCTCCCGCACTGGGAAAAAAAGAAACGGGACACCGCCGAACGGGTGGCAGGACGCGAGAGCGCGCTTCCCTCTGATGTCTCGCTCGACGCGCGGCTCGACCTCGGCTGCCGCCGCGGTGGCAGCCGTGGTGACCGACGTCTCCGTCGTCACCGCCAGCGTCGTGGCGGGTGTCGCCCCTTCCGCCGACACGGTGCGCGTGGAGGCGAGCGCTGTCAAGGTCGGGCCCGCCTCGAGTGGAGACGAGGACAGCAGCGACAGCGACGAGGAGGCGTGGCGGCGGGAGGGTCTGGTCAAGCACCTGGAGCGCAAGATCTGGCCCATCGCGTGCGCCGTCATGCCCTTCGTGAACTCGGACCCGGCGGTCGCGGCGCGGTCGGCGCTCATTCCGCCGCCGCGGATGCTGCGGGGGAACCTGGCGCCGCACCAGCGCGTGGGGCTGACGTGGCTGCACACGCTCCACGAGCACGGCCACTCCGGCATCCTCGCCGACGAGATGGGGCTCGGGAAGACGGTGCAGACCATCTCGCTGCTCGCGACGCTGCTCGAGGCGGGCGACCCGGGCCCGCATCTGATCGTGGCGCCGGTGTCGGTGCTCGAGAACTGGCGGCGGGAGGTTGCGCAGTGGTGCCCCGAGATGCGCGTCCTCAAGTACTACGGCTCCGAGGCCGAGCGCGAGGAGATGCTCTCCGATCTCGCCGCGGCGGCAGAGGCGGAGGAGGAGGCGGAGGAGGCGGCGAAGCAGGCGGCGGCGGGCGGCGGGCAGGCGGCGGCGGCGGCAGGCGGCGGCGAGGGCGGCGAGGGCGGCGAGGGCGGCGAGGGCGGCGAGGGCGGCGAGGGCGGCGAGGGTGGCGAGGGCGGGGAGGCGGCGGCGAGGAAGAAGCTGTCGCCGCACATTATCCTCTGCGCGTAGCAGCCTCGTCGAGCATGAGCAAGAGGTGTGAACGGCGTCTCTTCACAGGCGCAGGTGTGAACAGGCGCGTACACCCTCTTCGAGCGCGACCACGAGAGGGCGAGGAGCGAGCGGCGCGCGATGAATTGATCAATCATGAGTTCACCCTTTGTAATCGTAGCGCAGGCGAGGAGCGAGCGGCGCGCGCTGCGGCAGGCGGTCTTGTCGCGTCGCCGCGGCCGTTCGGCAGGGTATACTCTGTCCTGGACGAGGCACAGCAGGTCAAGTCGATGCATAATATATAACACGTTGGTTTGGACCAGGTACTTGGTCCTGGACGAGGCGCAGCAGGTCAAGAACAACCAGTCGAGCCGGTGCAAGAGCCTGCTCGAGCTAACCCTGACCCTGATCCTGACCCTGACCCTAACCCCTTACCCAGACACTGTCCCTAACCCTAACCCTGTCCCTAAGCCTAACCCTGCCCCTAACCCCTTACCCAGCCCCTAACCCTGCCCCTACCCCTACCCCACCCCCGTAGGTACAAGAACTTGCTCAAGCTCCGCGTGCGGCGCCGCCTTCTGCTGACCGGCACGCCCCGTCGAGAGTGCGCCGCGAGCTGCTCAGCCTTAATAATTAACTATTATTATTAAGGCACGCCCATCGAGAATGCGCCGCGCGAGCTGCTCTGCCTTCTCTCGTTTGCGGCGCCAAAGCGCTTCTCCCTAGAAGCGGAAATGCGCGTTCTCGTACTCCGACCAGTGCTCGAGAGGGCACGTACTCAACTGTGTTCGACCGTATTCAGCCGTATTCGTTTCCCTCGATCTCACACGGTGCTCTGAATACTGTGCACACTACACCGAATTCCCCCCCCCCCCCCCCCCCTCGTGTTCGCGCGTTATTACGTAGGCTCTTCTCGATCGCCGACGAGTTCGACCCGCGCACCAAGAAGCTGCTCAACCTCTTCACGCCCGAGGAGGAGGGCGACGTCGCCTCCGCCGTCCCGCGAGGGCGAGGGACGGTCTCCCGCTCCGGCGCGGCGGTCCGTCGCGGCCTTTTCTCTTTTCTCGCCGGTTGTTCCGAGCTGTCTCGTCGTGATAGGCGCACGGCGATCAGCTTTTGACGGCGTGTTTGGGGGGCGGGGGCGTGTCACCCGTCTTGCTCTCGCGTAGGCGCGGCGATCATCAAGTCGCTCGCGTCGCCATTCGTGCTGAGGCGACTCAAGTCGCAGGTGATAGCCCCGACCCTGGACTGCCGCGCTCGCCACCACCACCACTCTCCCCGCTGGTCCCTCGCCGTGTGCGTTTCACCCTCCTCCAGCCTCACCACCCGCACTGGAGGAAGTCTACCTGACTTTGCTTTGCCTTAGGTGATGGCGAGCTTGCCAAAGAAGACGGAGGAGGTGCTGACCGTGCCGATGCAGGAGGAGCAGAAGCGGCTCTACATGCGCATCCTCACCGACTTGCGGCAGCAGCAGGAGCGGCGCGAGGCGGCGTACGCGGAGCAGGAGAAGGCGAAGAACCGCGCTCTCCAGTCCGAGACCACCATTGAGCTGACCGTCACCGTGCGGCGCGGCGGCAACGGCGCCCTCGGCCTGAGGATGGACGACAACCGCGTTGTGTCGGTCAGCTGCTGGAGAGATTGCCCACAGTCTCCGATCTGCCGCGATTTTGCCGCAGCTATGCCGAGCTGCTGCCGAGATGTGACTGCAGGGGTAGCCGTTGTGGTGCCGAGGTGTGCCCCACGCCCCCCCTTTGCGTGCAGGTGAGCCCGGAGAGCAACGCCGCGGAGGTTGGCATCCTGGCGGGCGACCTGGTGTGGGAGGTGAACGGCAAGTCGACGCAGGGCTCCTCCTTCTCCTCGCTGCTGCCAGGGCCGGACAGCCCCGCGCCGATCAAGCTCAAGCTGCGGCGGACGCGCGTCGAGGGCGGCGCGGAGGCGGTGGAGGGCTCGGTGATGGCGGTGGCGGCGGTGGCGGGGTCGGTCGCGGAGGGGGCGGTGGCGGCGGTGGCGGCAGTGGCGGGTTCGGTGGCGGGTGCGGAGGGCGTCGCCGTCGTCAAGGGGGCGGCGGGCGCGTCGGTGCCGAGAGTCGTGACGGACGCCAAGGGGGAGCTGAAGGGGGAGGGCATCAGTCCCCCGCCGAACGTCGTCACCGACGTCAAGGTTGTCCTCTCGGCGCCGGCAATGTCCGCCGAGTGGATCCGCGACTCGTTTACGCGGCTGCGCAAGGCGGCGCAGCACGCGCTGCTGCTGCGGGGAGGCCGCTTCTACGACGAGGCCACATCTCCCCACAACTCCCCACATCTCCCGTATAACCCCATATCGCCCCGTATCTCGCCCCCCACGAGGCTGATGGCGCACAGCCCTACCTCCGGAGTATCTCCCCATCTCTCCGATCTCTCCCCATATCGCCCCATGTCAGGTGGCCACGCGGCGCATCGCTCGCTGCCTGACCTTCGAGGGCGCCTTTGCCGACGCAGGCCGGCTGCCGCCTTCGGAGGACGAAGTGATGGCCGAGCTGCGAGCGTCCTCCGACCTGCAGCTGCACTACTACTGCTCTCGGTACGCGGCGATCGCCGACCTGCAGCTCGACCTCGACGTGGCCGCCTTCGCGTCGGGCAAGGCGACCGCGCTGAAGAAGCTGCTGCCGGAGCTGCGCGACGGCGGGCACAAGGTTGTGATCTTCTCGCAGTGGACGATGACGCTCGACGTGCTTGAGCTCGTGTTGGGCCAGGTCGGCATCGAGTACCGCCGCTTCGACGGCTCGACCAGCGCCGCCGACCGGCAAGTCATCATCGACGAGTTCAGCCGCGACGGGACAGTGACGGCGCTACTCGTCACGACGCGCGCGGGTGGACTCGGCATCAACCTCACGTCGGCCGACACGGTGATTTTGCACGATTCGGACTTCAATCCGGCCGCCGACAAGCAGGCAATGGACCGGTGCCATCGGATGGGGCAGACGCGGCCGGTGCGCGTGATTCGGCTGGCGTCGGAGAGCACGGTGGACGAGCGGATCATCGCACTCGCGGCGGACAAAGCGCGCCGCACGAGGGACATCATCGGAGGCACGAGCAACGACGCCGAGGTGGTCGAGGCGGGCTCAGCCACCGAGGAGAGCGGAGTCAGCCGGATGGGCGGGATGCTGCGCGACGCCCTGGCGGCTGAGGCGGCGCAGTCGCTGGCGAGCGCTTCGGCGGGCGGCGAGGCGAAGAGGGAGGTCTGGAGCGACGGCGGCGACGCGGCATCGCAGGCGGAGCAGCACGAGGAGGTTGATTTGCGGCGCGTTGTCTGGGAGCTGTCGCACCAGGCATACGCCGTGTACGGCAAGGCGCGGCTCTGGCCGGACCAGTGGCCGAGGCCGATTTTCCCGGCGGACACCTCAAACCCGCAGCCGGGCGAGTGGACGCCGTATGCCAACAAGCTGCTCGTCGCGCCGCGCCTCGGCGAGCTACTCTCAAAGTGGCGCGATTTGCCGCACACCGCGCGCCGGACCCGCGACGTGCTCACGCGGCTGCTCGAGGCGCTCGTCAGGTACAAGCAGTTGGTGGTGCTGCAGATGCAACAGGAGCGGAAGAAGAAGCAAGAGGAGGAGGAGAAGAAGCGGCGGGAGCAGCAGCAGCTGCGGCAGCTGCAGCTGCAGCGGGAGCAGGAGAAGGCGCTCAAGGAGGCGGAGAGGCAGCGGCAGCTGCTGCAAAAAGAGGCGGAGCGGCAGATGGCGCAGTTTTTAAAGGACCAGGAGCACGCCACCGCACGGCAGCGGCACATGATGCAGCAGCAGCAGATGCAGCTTGAGCAGCAGATGCAGCTGCACCAGCTGCAGCAACAGCATCAGCAGCAGCAGCTCAAGCGGCAGCGCGCGTCGTCGGGCTCGAGTTTTGCCCTCCCGCCCCACGGCGGCGAGCAGCCCCTCAACCTCAAGTTCTCTCTTGGCGGAAGCGCGGCGTCACCAAAGGAGCGTCCCGCCAAGATGCCGAAGCTCAAGCTCACCACGGGCAGCATCGACGCGCAGCGCAAGAGCATGGTCAAGATCGTGCGCGATCTGAGCAAGCTGCCCTGCGCCGCCGGCTTCCTCGCGCCCGTCGACTGGAAGGCGCTCGGCCTGCGCGACTACCCCGTCCTGATCACGAAGCCGATGGACTTGGGCACCGTCGCCAAGCGGCTCAAGGAGGGGCGATACTCCTCGGTGCGCGACGTGTACCGCGACGTCGAGCTCGTCTGCGACAATGCGATGCGGTACAACGCCGACGGCTCCGAGTACTGGGAGGCGGGGCAAGAGCTCAAGGGCATCGCGCACCGCGCCTTTGCGCCGCTGCTCTCCCCCATCCCCGCGGGAGGCCCGAGCAGCGCGCCGAGCGCCTCGCCCGACCAGCAACCACGGGTGGTCCTCAAGCTGCGCGGCTTCGAGGAGTGGCAGCGGCAGCAGATGAGCTTGGGGGGCGAGGCCGAGGCGGCGGCCCGACGCTCGCGCGCCAAGGAGGAGGAGCGGCGGCGGCGCGGCGCGGGTGGGCCAAGGCGGGGCGAGGGCGGCGCGGGACGCAGCGCCGCCGTCTCGCCGCCGCCACCTCCGGGTGCGGGCCTCTTCTCCTCCTCTCCAGCCGGCAGCGCGCTCTCCGGCCGCGCGAGCGCCGCCTCGCCCGCCGCCCTCTCGGCGGGGGCCACCTTCGGCCTGTCTCCGATGAGCGAGCGAGACGCCGCGCTGCTGAGCCTCGGCGGCTTCGGCCAGCTCCGGCCGATCTCGGCCAGCCTTGGCGAGCGAGACGACGCGCTGATGGGCTTCGGCGCGCTCGGGCCTCCGCAGGGGGCGCCGCCGTCGGCGGGGCGGTCGGAGAGGGGGCGCCGTGCGCAGGAGGCGGGCGCCGAGCCGGAGATGATGGAGGTGGAGCTTGGGCGGTCTGGGGGGGGTGACGGCGCGGTGGAGGAGGCCGAGGCGGCGAACGGCGGGGGCGGCGGGGAGGAGGGGGAGGAGGAGGAGGAGGAGCGGGGGGCAGAGGAGGGGGGGGAGGGGGAGGCGGCTGAGGCGAGGGAAGGGGAGGAGGCCGCCGAGGCGGAGGGCGAGGAGGAAGAGGGCGAGGAGGAGGAGGGCGAGGAGGAGGAGGGCGAGCAAGGGAGCGAGGGGTCGGCCGGGGCTGAGGGTGGCGCCGATCGTCTCTCGACTGGCGGCGAAGCTGCAGCTGTAATTGATTCTATCTGCCGCCGGACCGTAGGCGCCGATCACGTCTCGGCTGGGGGCAGCGACGGCAGCGACGGCATCGGCGAGCGCAGCGCGGCAGAGGAGGAGGCGGAGGAGGCGAATGCAGAAGGGATGGCGGAGGCGGCGGCGGCGGCGGCGGAAGGCGAGGGACTTTCGCATACCGACGCCGCCGGCTTTAGCGAGGCGGAGGCGGAGTCGGAGTCGGAGTCGGAGGCGGAGGCGGAGGGAGGCAGCGTGTCGCTGTCTGGCGGCGGAGACGCGTTGGCGGAGGAGGCGGAGGAGGCGCCCGAGGCGCAGGACCTCCTGCCGGAGCAAACGACCGCGCCGGAGGCGTTGGGCGGGGGTGGCGCAAGCCCGCTTGCCGGCGAGAGAGGCCTCCTCTCCCCCCCGGTGCCCGCTCCCTCTGGGTCGTCACCTCCTCCCGCTCCCGGTTGGTAGGTCTGTTCGCTGGCGGGGGCTGTGCCGGCGCTCTTGCGGCGGACGGCGGCGCCGACAGCGGTTTTCCCGTCTGCAACGGCCCCGGCGGCGGCGGCGTGGGCGGGGTGGGCGGCGCCGGCGCCCATCTCGCTGCAGGACGGTCTGGGCCAGCCTCTCTCCAGCATGCATTCGGGGGCGAGGCGGGGTCGGGCTGGCGGGCCAGCGGCGCGCCGTCTCCGCCACCACCAGCGGTGGCGAGCACCGCGACCGAGGTGCAGGGCGAGGAGGCGGACTTGCGTCAGCAGCACGCAAATGCGGCGAGTGCGCTCGAGGCGCTTCTCTCGTCGGGTTTGCCCGCCGCCGGGGTAGATGCAGACTGAGGGGAGGGGATTTTGATTGGTGGTCCGGGTGATGTCTGGTCCGATTTGGGGGCGTTACACCCAGCCTTGTACTCGTGGTGGCGTTCTCTGTCCCTGGCCAGCGGCTAGGGACTAAGTGCAGGGGGGCGCGGGCTCGCCTCGCTGCCTCGCCGCCCCCTCCGCCGACGGCGCGCGCGCGACCATGCGCCGGCGCGCGGCTCCGAGTCAGAGTAGGCCGCCAAAAATCGTCGCACTGCATGAACCCGTCTCCGGCGCGGTCTCCTGTTCACTCCCTTCACTGCCCTCGGCCCCTGGGGGGCCTCACTAGCGCTCGCTGTGTAGCTTAGGGGCCTAGCCTAGGCTTAAAAAGGGTGGGCCCTGGGGCGCCTGCGGCTTAAACGGCTTAAAACGGGCCTGTTTTAAGGCTCTCTGGGCCGCGGCGGGGAGTCGCATCTGCGCGTCCCCGGCAGTGGCAGTGTGGGGGTAGATGGGAAGTGCGGAGATGGGAGGCAACGCGCCTGTTTGATGGCCGCACGAGGCAAAATTGGGCGCTCCGAGCGTCTTCTCGGCGAGAACGAGCGGGCTGTGCATCGTCGGGGGGGTGACTGAGAGGGAGGTGGTCGTGTGCCTACTTTGTCGGCCGCGCGCGAGGTGAATACTGGGTCTGAGGCGCGCAGGAGGCGAGGGTGGGCGCGCCGGCGGTCGAGCCACCGAAGAATTCGACGTGGCGCAGCTCCGCGCCGGCGGGGACGACCGAGCACATGATGTCGGCGGCGGTCACGCGACGAGCGAGAGCCGCAGGAGCCCTCTGAGAGCCAGGCGCGCGAACGCGGCGATGAGTGGCGCTTCGATCAGCCACCTATGGGCGGTTACCGGGGTGACGTCACACCTCAGCGAGCTGGATCCGGGAAGGGCATGGGGTCACGCGGGCCCTGTCTGCAGCAGCAGTGCTAACTAAAACGACAAAATTCCGGATGGACCGGAGACTGTCTACTCTTTCGGCGCACCGTCCTCGACCGCGCTGAAAAGCAGGCTGGTGGTCGCGCGCAGCGCGTCGGCGCGACTCCAACTGGTTGGGCACCTCGGCTGGATCCATCAGCACGAGGCCCGCCCCGTCGGGGAGCCCCGCGAGCGCATGGGCGGCCGGCGCGAGCGGAGAATGACGGCCGAGATCGGCGCTGGGTTGGTACGAAAAACGAGAAGCGCGCAGGGGGGGTCCGAATAAGTTACATAATAGATCGTACGAATCGAATTCTTTCTTTTATTATTCTCGCCCGATTTCCCAACAAATTGTTGCTCTGTGGCACTTTTCTGATTGGTAAGGGCATCGTTGGGCTTTCCACTGCGGTCGCGGCCGAAGAAAACTGGCGAGCGGCTCCCTTGAATGAGTTGAGAAACGTGTAGCGTTGCAGACATGACGGCGGGATGTGCTTGCAAATGTCATGTAACGCCATGTCATATGAAGACGTGCTCATGTGGGTGGTCGCTCCACCTCATATAGCGCCGCGACCGCCACTCATCTCTAGGGTACCCAAACTAGACCCCCCCCTTTGGCGCCTTGTGATTTTCGTGCGAAGACAGCGAGATCTCGGCCCGCGTCCTCCGCTCGCGCCGGCCGCCCATGCGCTCGCGGGGCTCCCCGACGGCGCGGGCCTCTTGCTGATGGACCCAGCCGAGGTGCCCGACCAGTCGGAGTGGCGCTGACGCGCCGCGCGCGACCACCAGCCAGCTTTCCGGCCGGGCCGAGAACGGTGCCTCGAGAATGTAGACACTCCAAACAGTTGCCGAGTTTTTTCCCTCTTTTTGAGCGCCGCTGCTGCACACCCAGCCCACCAGTGATACTAGACGCACCAGATTCACCCCGTCGCGAGCTTGACCGCGACCCCGATGACCGCCCACAGGTGGCTGATCGCGGCTCGGCGACGCGGCCAGCAACATCGGCCGCCTCGGGCACTGCGGCCGCCATAACAGCCTCCTCGCCGCCCTGGCCAAGGTCATGCGGAGCGTGTGGGGCATGCTCGTCGAGGTGGAGCCGCGGGACCACCTCGGCTACTCTAACGACCGGCCCGACGTCTCGGTGGCGGGCGCCGGCCGCTCGCGCTCGCGCCTCGTCGGCGACGTCAAGTTCAAGGACTCGCTCTCCTCCAACCCGGAGGACGTCGGCCAGCGAGGCGCTTTCGTCGGGTAGTCTTTAGTAAAACCCCACCCCTCGCCCCGAGGAAGGTTTTTTGGGTTCGAAGGCGGGGTGAACACACCCGCCCCCTTGGAGGGTCCCGTTAAAACCCGACCCAAGTTGGGAGGGGGCGGTTGCGGCAAAAAGGCGGAAAACCTGGTTCCAATCCCTTTTGCTGCGGGGGGGGTGGGGCCCCCCCCCCCCCCCCCAGCAGCAGCGCTCTGCTGCTGGGGGGGGTCAGACCCCCCCCCCCTAGCAGCAGGGATGACTTTAGAAGGGCAGGGGGGTCAAGACCCGCGCAACCGATGGAAATATTTAAGGTACAGTATAAGCTAAGCCTACTTTAAGGAGTTTAAGCCGTGTAAGGTGAGGTAAGGTAAAAAACTCCATCAACACACAACAGTAAGAGCTCTACCTCTCAAGGCTAGAGGACACATACCTTGAGGCGGTAGATAGACCACTGTACGACCTTCGTACGACTGTTTTATTTGGACATATGTGCACATGCGGTGTGTCTTGGGTGAGCCAAACATCTTGGCGGGGCGATCGGCAGTCGCCCACAGCTCACAACGTCACATGGACTGTGTGAGCCTCGTTGGCGGGTAAGCGCGGGCGGCCCCCCGACGGCCACGCGCGAGCCCGGCGGCATGCTCTCGACAGCCTGTGCTGGGCCGGCCGTCCTCGGGCGAACGGCACGCGCAACTCGCCTCGGGGCGCCGCGCCGTGGCCAGCAGCCCGTCGCCCCTGCGACACGGCCGGACGGCGCGGGCTGCCCAACATCTAGGGGCGAGGCCGAGCGGGACTACGCCAGGCCCTACGCTCTCCACTAGCATTCAAATAATCTTGCCAGTTTCACTCGCTCCGCGTCTTCCTTCATCGCGCCGTACTTTCCGGCCAATTCCGCGGCGGTAAAGCCGGCGCCGTCCCGCGCCGCGGTGCTCGATCCCGCGCCCAGAAGCAGGCGGATGCACTCTTCGTTGCCGTTGGCAGCTGCTTCGTGCAATGGAGTCCTCTGGTTGTCGTTTCGCGTCACCTCCACGTCGGCCTTGCTCTGCAGCAGAAACGACAACGTTCGGTGGTGGCCATTCTTCGCTGCGACGCCGACGGCGGAAAGCCCAAGGCCCGGTGTTTTGTAGAGCACGTGCGCCGCATCCGTCCGCTCGACGATGTAGCGCACCAGACTTATGTTGCCCCAATTGGCTGAAATCGTGAGAGGCGTCATGCCGTACTTGTTGACAGCGCCGATGTCGAAGCCCAACTCCTCGATCAAGAAGCGAAATAGCGCCAAATTGCCGACGATGGCGGCGTACCAAGCCCAGCACTCGTCCGGCGGCCAGGCGTACTCGCCGCGATGCAGCAGCCACGCCTTGACGGCGTCCTCGGAGCCGTCCAGCGCGCCCTCCCAGTAGCTCTGGTCGTGCTCCTCGTCGGCCAAGTCGGCGAAGATGTACGCCTCGGCCCCCACGAGCAGGAAGAATGAGTGGTACGCGCCTCCGTCCGCGCCGTCGGCGCTCGCGATGTACCGCTCCCACATCGGGCGCGGCAACTCGCCTGACTCGACCAGGGGCTCCCACACGGAGCGCAAGGAGTCCAATGCGCTATGGTAGAGCTCGCGAATCACGGCGTGAAGGCCCTCGCGGTCGCTCAGCCTCGCAAAGTCGCCCGTGAGCACGGCCTTGCGCCGTTGCCAGCCAAGGTTGAGGCGGTCGTGGAAGCACTGCGTCGACGCCGACGGCTCCTCGCCTAGATGGTGTGTCAAGTAGATGGGCCGCCCTTCGCTCATGCGGGTCAAGTCAAGCGCCAGCGCCTCCATCCGGCACCAACCGCGCATCAACCACGTGTCGAAATTGCATTGGTGGCCACTCTCGCGGCGCACACCCAACGGAGTGCACACCCAGAAGTTAGAGGCCTGCGCGACGTAGGTGGGGATGGAGGTAATCGCCTTCGCTTGCTCCTCCTCCGCCCCTGCCTGTTGCGGGACGGAGAAGTAATCCAGCCAAACCCAACCCTCCGACACTGAGCGCTGGAACTCCTCGAACGTCCGCTCTCGCGTAGTGAGGACGTCACTCGAGGACGAGCGAGCGCGCGACCGACCGGTAAGAAACTTTGCGGCGACATCGTCATCGGCGAAAATGTTCTCGCCTCTGATGACGCGCCTGAAGACTTCCTGCATCGTCCGCAGGTGTACCGAGTCCGGATCGGGATGGCGAGTCGAAATCCACTGGTGGCTAACGAAGTTGATTGACGGCGCCTCCAATCGGTCGGCGCGCATGATGAGCCCTTTTACCAAGAGGTCTTCATGAGAACGCAGAGTTTCTAGCGCGAGGAAGTCGCCGACCCTCATGCAGTACAGTGGAAACGAAGCCATAGTCTTGCACAGCACAATCGGGACGTCTTTCAACTGTTGGAGTCGGCGCCGCGGGTGGCGCGCGGCGTGTGAGAGAGGATCGCAGAGGACATGAAAGGCCGCCAGCGGTCGCCGCGGCGCTGAGAGCTCCAAGTCGAGGTCTTGCCAGGGGCCCCTCCACTCGCCTGCACCTGCTCGAACCCTGAGCACTGTGCGGCGTTGCACGCTCGAGGTCGTGCATGATGTAGTAATCATTGTCTTGAGTATTGCGCTTCTCTCGACAGAGAGAGAGCGCTAGCCTCTACCCCTTCGGGTCCGTCGAATCTCGGCGCGGCAGATGCGACGCCGAGACTGACGAAACCTCCCTGTGGTGGGCTCCCTGCATGCACATGCTGGGTCAAGCACAAAAGGATTCTTGTATTCGCAGATCTTCTTTTGTTTTGCTCATCCTCTGCAAAGACTGCAAACCTCTTCTTTATAATTAATGATCAAAGACTGACAGGTGTGGTCCTCGATCCTAGCACCTCACTCCCATTAGAAAGAAAAAGAGTTTGTGGCCTAAAACATGCAGGACGTCCTCCTTGCATGCATATGTTGGGTCAAGCACAAAGGATTCTTGTTTACTTTGCTCTTCCTGGTAATGGTCAGCAACAATGACACGTGAGAGAGAGAGAGATTTTTAGCAATACCAAACAACTCTAACACTCACACGTCATTTTTTGTTTGACACGTGTGGCATCCTCGATCCTAGCACCTAGGCAGGTGCCCGTGGTGCCGCATATCACGTTGCCTCAACCGCGCAAGCTACAGCGTGCGTGAAAATAAAGCGAGGCTCGATGTTGAGTGGTGTACTCGTAGCTCACCGTGCCACGAAGGTCCTCACTCGAGGAGGTCTCTGTGCGAGAGGAGCGGCGTGAGGTCCTCACAAGTAGAGAGGTCCTCACACGGCCTACCTGCCGTCGTCTTGAAAGCAGCAACATGCAACTAAACACAGCTGGGGCTGCAAGGTGGTGCAGCTCCCTAGGCCGGCGAACGCACCGGGGGTCCGTGGGTCCGGAGTGCGGAGAAGGCTATAATCGACGGCACCACCAACCAGACTTTCTACTTAGCTTTGCAACCAGACCCCTGTAAGAAAAAAGTAGAACATAGTCCTAGTGCTATAGGTGCGATGCGTGCGACGATGTAGAACATAGTCCCTGTAGTATTAGGTGCGACTTGCTTGAGAAGCGGTTGGGTCTCTGTGAGATGTGTCTTTGTGCATCGGTGTTGGGGCAGGTTAGGTTGGCGGGGCGCGCGCCGAGAAGGTGCCCATCATCTTATTAATTCTTTTTTGCCAATGTATTTACTGGGAAGCGTCCGACACCAGCCGACGTCAATGCTGTGCGTTCTAACCCACTGCGGCTTCTCGCCTCCCAACGCGTTTGCTTCTCGCCTCCACGCCGACCACCAGCATGTTCGCACCTCGCATATGACGATGGTTGACTCGTGGTACGACGCCGGCCAGCGACTCAGCACCGCAGCCGCGATGAGAGCAGCGAGCCCCGCAGCCGGCGGATCCTCCCGTCTCGAGGCCGAGCTCGAATCGACCAAGGCGGCGCTGCTGAAAGTCGCTCTCCTGAGCGGTCGTGGTGCGTGGGCGCGGCCGTCAGAGCGGGTCGCCGCTGCGCAGCTCGTCGAGAGCTTGGAGCAAGCGGCGGAGCAGAACGAGGAGGCGCCCTCCCTGCGGGACGGGACGTGGGAGCTCGTCCTCTCGGACGTGGAGCCCTTCCGTGCCTCCACCTTCTTCCTCGCGCTCGGCGAGGCGGTCGAGGCGCTGATTCAGAAGGGCGCGTCCGACGGGGCGCTGACCGTGCACGCGCTCGCGACGGGCGGCGGCGAGGTCGGCCGCGTGGCTCACGTCGTGGAAGGCGGCGGCGGCTTCGTCTGCACTTGTCGATCCCACGCGCCGAGGTCACCCGAGATCGTCCGATGGCAGGCGGCGGCGGTCGGCTCCATTCCCTCGTCGAGCTCAAGAGCGGCTCGCTGCGCCCTAGAAGCGGAAGACGTGTTCTTGCATTCCGCTGCACTGTCCCTGTACTCACCTCCCTCGTGTCCACGCGTTGCTCTGATATTCCAACTACCGCTCGAGAGGACGCGCATTCCGCTGCACTCACTCTACTCGCCTCCCTCGTGTCCACGGCGGTGCTCTGACATACCCCGCACAGTACTCCCCTTCCCGCCCACGCCGGTGCATTCGCCACGTAGGTTCGCTGCCCTCCCTCCCCCTCGCCCTGGCCGGCGTGGTGGTGAGCAGCGGCGAGCTGCAGGCTGGTTAACTCATTCACTCATTCATTACTTAGTTAATTAATTATTAGCTCGCGGGCCGACTCCCGGTGTGATCTCACCCCGCTCGTCGGCCTCGTAAGGCTGCGCGGGCGGGCGGCGGCGTCTTCGACCTCAGACTCGTCAACACCAGCGTGCAGCAAAACGAGGTGCGGACCCCGAGATCGCCCGAGATCGCCCGAGATTGCCCGCGATTGCCGGAGATCACCCGAGATTGCCCGAGATTGGCTGCAGGTGCGGTACGGTCTGCCGACGGAGGGCGGGCTGGCGCCGGGCGTGGAGAGGAGCGCGCTCTAGAGTCTGGCTCAGCACGGGATGCTATGCAGCTGTCTTCGGCCGTATATTCCGCCGTATTCATTGTACACTCGTAGCCCGTGTATTCACGCGGTGCCGCCCCCACCCTGATACTCTTCCAGATCTGTAGGAGCCTTCTCTCGTGGATCGGCGACCAGACCGTGCCGAGCGGGGAGGTGTTTTCGCGCGTGCTGGAGCCGCTCGGCGGCGGCCCCTCCGCGCAGCTCCGCCTCAGCTACTCGGACGGCGAGCGGGGGAAGGGGGGGGGGAGGCGCGCACGTCTCTGCGATCGGCCGAGACGGCTCGAGATTGTCGCGAGGTTAGGCGAGCTGATGGTCTGGCGCGCGCCCAAGCTCGGCGACCACTTCTTCGTGTTTGTGCGGGGCGAGGAGGAGACGTGGCCGGCGATGGAGGAGACGCGGCGGCGGCAGGCCAGCTCCGCCACGCAAAGCGCGGTCGGCTCCGCCTTCGCGCTCGGGATGCTGAACCCCTTCTTCTCGCGAGCCGCCGGAGCGCGCAAGTCGTGAGGGCCGCACACGTCGCACCCACCACACGTGCATTTGCGTTTCTGCATTACGTTGGCGATTGTGTGCGCACTCTCGTCACGCGATTTTCTCTCGTAACACAGAGAAATATTTTAGCTGAACTTCGTTTTCTTGTTTTTTGATTCTCAATCTCATATTTGGAGGAGGTGGGAGTTGGGTGATGGGGATGATGTGGGCTGAGTCCACGGTCAGGGTGGTTGTGTCGCTGTCGGCGAGCAGCTACGGTGAAGTTCTTGGCGGATTCGATCATCTGCCTGAGGACGACTTCCTTTCTCTGGTAGGACGGGAACGAGATGGTAGTAGGGAGTAGAAGAAAGCAAAGAAAGAGGAGCCCTGTGCGGGCACGCACGACTCCGCAGGAGAAGCCCCTCCCCAGACAAAAGCCAAGGGAGAGGTGGGTGGGTCACAGAAAACCGCGGCCGCCAGCGACTGAGCGTCTCGCTGGCGGACGGGGTATCGCGCGGCTAACTCCCACGTGTCGCAAGGCCAAGGAACTCGTACGTCCCCCGGCGCAAGCTCCCTTTCGACATAATGGCAGACGCCACAGTGGTCGTGCTCGCCAGCACCACTCTTGGTGCTCTGTACCGCTGGCCGGACCTGAGGCCGGTGGCTGCTCGCCTGCTCAGATGGTTCGGTGGCGTCTTCCTCGCGCTGCTTGTCCTGACGATTCTCTGCTTCGTTGTTGCGGACGTCGAAGCATTGCAAAAAAGAAGCCCTCTCTACACCGCTGCCCAAGCCGGTAACCACCCTCGAGTCGTCGAGCTTCTCCAGTACCAGCATGTGCGCAGCGACATCGACGTGGGCTCGCGGAGTAGCTTTGGCATGCTCGCCTCGGGCACGCCGCTGATTGCTGCCGCCACGGAAGGCCACACAGAGGTGGTGGCGGCGCTTCTGAAGGCGGGCGCCAACCCGAACACTCTCTCCACGCTTGGCCTCGGCATGCTCTTCTCGGGCACGCCGCTGTTTGATACCGCCCGGTATGGCCACACAGAGATGGTGGCGGAGCTGCTGAAGGCGGGCGCCAACCCGAACACTCGCAACACGCTTGGCCTCGGTTTGCTCGCCTCAGTCACGCCGCTGTATGCTGCCGCCACGAAAGGCCACACAGAGATGGTGGCGGCGCTGCTGAAGGCGGGCGCCAGTCCGAACACTCCCCTCACGCTTTTCCTCGGCATGCTCTTCTCGTCCACGCCGCTGCATGCTGCCGCCCAGAATGGCCACACAGAGATGGTGGCGGAGCTGCTGAAGGCGGGCGCCAACCCGAACACTCGCAACACGCTTGGCCTCGGTTTGCTCGCCTCGGACACGCCGCTGTCTGCTGCCGCCCAGAATGGCCACACAGAGGTGGTGGCGGAGCTGCTGAAGGCGGGCGCCGATCCGAACACTCCCCTCACGCTTTTCCTCGGCATGCTCCTCTCGGCCACGCCGCTGTCTGCTGCCGCCCAGAATGGCCACACAGAGGTGGTGGCGGAGCTGCTGAAGGCGGGCGCCAACCGAACACTCCCATGACGCTTGGCCTCGGCATGCTCTTCTCGGCCACGCCGCTGTCTGCTGCCGCCTTCCAAGGCCGCACAGAAATGGTGGCGGCACTGCTGAAGGCGGGCGCCGACAGTTGATGGGAACGTTGGGTCGGTGACTAGAGAGTCAAACGGCGCTGCACTAGACACTATACGTAAAGCCGTTGACAACACAGAGGTTACTCATTCGTTTGAGGGGTACGCTCTTCTACACGGACGAGATCGTTCCCTCGTTCGGAACTCACAATCTCTCTCGTGTCTTCAAAAGCGGTATCTCTGTCCCCTGTGTTGATCTCAGGTCGAGCTTGCGCATGATAGCGCAGAGTGGGCGGAGCAGTCCCCCTCCCCCCGCAGGAACGCGTGGGCCGCAATCTCCGAGAGTCCGATCCGCTCCGAGGCGGCGTCCGCGGTCATGCGACGCACCAGCTCCGCCACCCCAGCAGGCAGCTCCTCCGGCTCTCGCGTCGCCGGCGCGGGCCCGGCCGCCGCCGCCCAGCAGCAGCCGCCGCCGCCGCCGACCTGGGCATAGAGAGCCGTATAGGCGGTGCCGGAGGACGCATGCGACGCTGTTCTCAGGGTGGGTCGTCGAGAAAAGTGGCGCCGGAGTGTGTGAGCCGAGAGGAGGTGTGTGTGTGTGTCGAGCGACACCTGCTCCACGCGCCCTCGCGCCTCCTCGGCGGCTAGGACCGGCGCTCTGCCGAGCAGCAAGTAGCGCAGCACGAGCCCGAGCGAGAAGACGTCGAGCCGCGCCGCCTACGATCTCGGCCAATCTCGGCGCATCTCGGCCGATCTCGCCGTCCGGGCGCTGCGTAGTACATCCTCATGCACCTGCGTTATATGCAGACTACTGGTTAGGCTAACACGACATCAACTACCACCAAGCCAGTTCCGAGACGAGTCCCTGATATGAGAGACTACTGCCCTGTCTCCTGCCCCCGGTCAACATCTCAACATGCCGCGGGCGAGGTGGATTTCAGCCACGCCCACCGTCGCTAGTCGCTTGGGGCGTGGATAGGCGGCCAGATATCTTGGCATTAAGGATGCCTACTACTACTGCTACGTCTCGCTGCCTCGCCTCCGCCGCCGAGAGGCTAATTAGGTGATTAATTAAGCAGTAATGGAGAAGTCTAGCTGCCTCGCCTCCGCCGCCGAGAGGCTCATGCTGCTCGTGCGCGTCAGAATCGCCGCGCGCACCTGCGACCGTGCGCGCGGGGGGCAAGCACGCCGTCGCTGTCGCTGAGTGTCGCTCTATCTATCAAGGGCTGGTGTGGGTCCAGACCACCCCTCGCAGCTGGCCAGCTCCACCTTCTCTCGGCCCAGTCACGCTGCACTCTCGGTGACTCTCTCCGCTAGCATCGGCGACTCTCGGCGACGCCTCTGGTGAGAGGTAGATAGCGTGCTAGTTCATTAACAATTAAGTAAGACGGTCGTAATGAGTTATTATTTAGCACGCCTCTGGCAAGAGGTAGAGCGGGGCACTTCATTCATTAAAAATTAGCAACTATTTATACGATGAAGCACGACTCTGGCGAGAGGTGAGCGAGTTGCTTCATTCAGGCTTAATTAATTAATTAAGGCACGCCTCTGGCGAGAGGTAGAGCGTGTTACTTCATTAGTAATGAGGTAATTAGTTATTAATTACGGCACGCCTCTGGCGAGAGGTAGAGCGTGTTGCCGTGCGCGGAGAGGTCGTGCCGCTCCTAGTCACCCATTCACACCGCTAGTGAGTTAAGCCGTTGGTGAGAGGTCCGCAGGTCCGGGCTTGGCCGAGGTTGGCCGAGGATGTCCGAGGTTGGTCCAGATCGATCGACATTGGCCGAGATTGGTCGAGATTCGCCGAGGATGTCCGAGATTGGTCGAGATTGGTCGCAGCTGTCCGAGATTCGCCGCGAAAGGGAAGTGGGCGAGGGGGCGGCACTATTCCTAGTACTAGACGTAGTAGATGTGTGGCGCAGCGCCCAGAAGGGCCAGGAGCTAGCATGTTCTCCTGCGCCCCCCTCACCCCGCCTCCGTCCAGCGCCTCTGCCGAAAAGGCGACGCGCCCGCCGAGCCCGCCGCTGCCGCCTCCGCCGCCGCCATCCTCGCTGCCCCCCTTCTTCTCCCCGCGTCTGCCGCCGCCGCTCTCGCCCCTCTTCTCCCCTCCGCCTCCGCTCTCGCCCCCCTTCTCTCCTCCGCCCTCGCCAGAGCGTCGAGAGGCGGCGGCGGGGGACCCGCCCCGTCGGCTGGGCGACCCCTCGCCGCGGCGTCGGGAGGGCGCCTAGCATGACTTCGCACGCGTCCATGAATGAAGTCGCTCCACCGCCCTCCGGCCGTACCCTTACGGTAAACCAGAGGGCTGCGGGGTCACTTCACACTCCCAAAGGGGCTGGCGCCTAGCATGAAGCAACCGCGCGCCGTGTGCGGTTCGCTGGCCATAGGCTGCCTCTGATCCGCAAACTGGGAGGGGAGCGAGAGAGCGCCGGCGGGGAGATGCACGGGAAGGGCAGCAGCCGCGCGAGCCCAAAGTCGATCAGCTTCACCTGCAGTCAGTCAGTCAGTCAGTGTTACACACGTCCCTAGCATGAAAGACGGGGCGCACGCACTCGCGGAGCACACACGGGGGCGTGACACGCGAGGCGGTGTGTGCGTTCTCAGGGAAAGGCATCACCACGCAGACAAAAGTGCAATCGTCCGAGAGAGGGGCCGCAGTGGGGACATTCACCTGCGGCACAGCACTCAGCAGCATCATGGAGTCTCGGAGTCGCAAGGCTGGCCGCGCCCCGACCCGGACACTCGCGAGCCGGAGTGTGTGCTCGCAGGCGTGCAGTTCTCTGGAACTGCACGCTCCCGAGGCGTGTGTTTGTGCAACAAGCCTCCTCGCGCTCGTTGCGCGCTGCTGCTGGCTGACCAGTCACTTCCCTCTCCTGGTCCGCGCCACGACCCGCGCGAGCGGTTTGACAAGTGGTTTGACTGACACGCAGGGACGGCGGAGGCGGGCCTGTCACCTGCTCCTCGCGCAAGCTCGAGCGGAGCAGGTCGGAGATCGGCGTGGCGAAGCAGATGTTAGACGGCTTGACGTCGCGGTGCACGATGCCACGTGAGTGGAGGTGGAGCAGCGCGTCGACACACTGGCGCAGCACGGCCGCAGCCTCGCAGAGCTCAGTCGCGCCCCGCTTGGCGAGCACGAGCTGCAGGTCGGGGCCTGGTGAGAGTGGGACAGCTTAGAGACGAGCGCGGCGGTGCGGTGTTTCAAAGATATGGTTCCTCTGGGCGATGCGGGCTGCGATGGTGAGGGAGATTGCCTCGACAGAGCTCCATGATGATGAAGAGGCGGTCCGAGCCCGAGGCCCGAACGAGATCGAATACACGCACCACGTTTGGGTGATCGAGTCGCCTCATCAGGGCCACCTCCTGCTCGATTGCGTCCGCCGTCCAGGCCGTCTCTGACCTCGGGAGGACTGACAGGTCGAGCGACTTGATCGCTATGGACCTGCGGCCGTCGCGAAAGTCTCGAGCCTCGTTGACAACGCCGTACGCGCCACGACCGAGCTCACGGCCTAGTCTGTAGCGGCCCAGGAGCATGTCGATTGAGAGCAGCGAGCGAGTCGAGTGGTTTGGCTGCTGGAGTGCTTTGTGACGAAGTAAAAAAAGAATTTTGTCGTCGACACGATTGTCCGTGCAAAAAAGAATTTGGAAAACTCCCTCCTCCGCCGAGCAGGGCCGCCCATCCTCGCCTAGCAACACCGTAGGAGAGCGAGGGGCCCCGCCCCCCGCCTCCGCCGCAGCGGCCGCCCCGCCGTCATGAACGCGTACGACAAGTGGGATGTGCAGGAGCGTGTCCTCGTCAGGGAGGTAGAGATGCTGTGGAGCGTGCATCGATGAAGAAGGAGAGCTTGGAGGCGCAGATGCAATGGGCTTTCAGGGCTTGGGGTGCCTTTGCCAAGCTGGGCCTGGCAGGCTGGGGCACGGGGCAGGAAAGAGCAGCTTGGCCGTGTGCATGAGATGTGGGGACTTGAGGTGGATCTCTTACGGTCTGAGAGGATTTGCTTTTGCAATGCAAAAGGTCATGTTGCAACGTCGTTTGCGCCAGGCATGTTGTGCGAGTATATGGGACAAAAGCGTCGAAAATGTCCCAAAAAGCGTGTCTCGAGTTTGTGGCAGCCCCACAGCCGGCGCGCGCCGCCAGGAAGCACCGCTCGCGTGTCGGCCGCACTCCCTGGCACCCAGGGAGTGCGGCCGACCGACCAGACCGAGTAGGCTCGATGCCGCGCTCGCTGTGGGGCTGCCACAAAGTCGCCGCCGAGCGTGCCACCGACGGCGTCCCGGCGGAGGTGGTGGAGTTTGAGACCTGAGGCTGCGGAGGTGACGCCTGAGGTACCGGCCCGTGCACAGCGACTCAGCCGGCGACCGCCACGGGCTCAGACGAGACTTGTCGACTCGTTCCGGCTCAGCTTCACCGTGGTCATCGGGCGTCTGTCGACGTCAGGACCACCCATACAGCTCGCGGGTTTGAGGTCGCAAGAGCCAAGATGGTGGCGTTTGGACATCCCAACCATCACACAAGACAGCCTGTAGGTGATGGCGGGACGGCGCAGTGTTTGTGGCACTCGGCAGTAGGCACCCGCGGCACGGCCCCGCTGTCGGCTCTCGCGGGCTGCAGAACCGGCCCCAGAAGGGGACGTTCCGGGCGAGTGTGGCAGCTCCTTCGCTAGTATGGGCACCCTCTATCATAGCACTACTGATCCTGGTCATTAGAGCTGCCAGGGATAGCGTCAGGAGCCGGTAGGAGTCAAAACCCCTCATATTTGAGACATCGTGTCCCATATACTCGCACAACATGCCGCCAGTGCCGGCGGCGCTAAGTGTCCGCGGTCATATAACTCCACTTCATTTTAGACTCTCAACATGATTGTTGGTGTTTTGAGCATCTAGTAAATGTGTTATTTTGGATTACCAACTCTGGGGTCGCTAGGATTTGCTTGCAATGCACTAGAGAGGGTACACGGATGAGCGCGGAGGTCGACCCTTTATGAAACCACTGAAACCGCTGCAGGTTTCACTCACTTGCTGCACCTATTCGGACCACTCGGGGCCCCTTGAAAATCACGCTCATTTTGACCAGTCTTGATCGGATTACGCCATCAGTTTTGCATCGGGATGGTCTCGTCCCAGCGGAAGCCAAGGCCGCCGCCCTGCCAGACGCCTCCCGCAGCATTGCCGAGCGGGTTCGCGCCATGGATGTTGAGCACAGGCGGCAGCCCAAAGGGCGGGTCGAAATTACTTGGCGCCTTGATAGTGGTGCGGTGCAAGATGCGAAGACCCACTTCACTGGCGGGCCGATGAGCCTCGGGCGTCGCTCGGTGCGCCACCGCCAGGTTGTCGATGAAGATGCAATCGCCCTCCTCATACTCGTAGATGGCTGTATACGCCGCCGCCGCCGCCTCGTCGTCGTCCCCAGCCGCCACCGTCTCGGTCGCGGCTGTGCCCTCCGCCGCGGCGTCGGCCATGGCTGCCACGTGCAAGTTGGATGGCTTTACTGCCAGTCGACTCGCGGCCGCGCCGTCGGCGCCTTGCTCGAGGCTCACTGCGACTTGGCCGTTGTCGCGGTCGAGAACGCCGTCCACGACGCCACGCCGGCCGTTGAGCTCTGGCTTGGCTGCCAAGCCAGCCAGCTCGACCCGCGTGCCGTAGGTCGGCACGCCAGCGAGCAGGTCGGCTTGGCCTGGTGCGAAGCCCTTGTTGAGCAGCGCGTTGTACGTCTGGAAGAGGTGGCGCATCTCGCCTTCGTCGAGCAGGCGGAGCGAGCCGACGGCGCTGGGGTCGTCCGATTTGGGCACCACCTCGAGCACGGCACCCGTCATGCCAAGGTGGAGGTAGACCGACTTGCGTCCGGAGATGGGGTGGGCGTGCACGACGGGGTGCAGCACTCCCGAATTCGAGTTGATAGAGACGAGACGCTGCCAGCGCTCCTGCTCCACCTCGGGCAACGCGTCGAAGGCGCCGCCCTGGTGAGCAAAAATGGTGCCGCCGCCGCCCTCGGCCACGCGGATGATGTGGTATCCGACGTGAGAGAAGACGCCGCGCTCGAACGAGCCGTCGTTGTGCCACTGGGGACCGACGCCGAGAATGCCCACGTTGCGGTCGTTTGAGAGGCCTGCGAGAGTGGCCGTCGAGCAGTGGGCTCTATGTTAGCCCCAGTACGGGAAGCAGCTCGTGGGCTTGGCTGTTCTTGTTCATCTCCTACAGGTGCACGGATCGAGGGCGAGCGCGCACGGAAGATGTGTTTGTTGGGCGCCTTTGGGTGGACCCCGTGCGTCGAGTGCATCTCGCGCGCGCCCCAGAGCTCCGACGCGATCACCTGCTCGTCGCCGCTAAGCGTTCCCTGGTCTTTGAAGACGAGGAAGCCACGTACGGCCATTGCTGACTGCAGCGCATCGAGGACTGGCTCTGGCGGCGTCTTGCGCAGGTCAAGCCCACGAACGGCGGCACCCAGTGGACTCAATGGTATGAGCGTGATGCCATGCGCTGCAAGCAGGCTGAAGATGGACGCGTTCACCTCGTGAACTCGAGAGACGCACGTGGAGGCCCCACGCATCGTGCCGCTCGCTGATCGGCTGTATCAGCAATCCCGGGGGGGGGCAATCAGGCCACGTAAGAATACGTACAATACGTGAGGCAGGATCAGGGTTCAATGTAAACACCCTAAACACCGTTTAGCTAAACATGCAATGTTTACTGTATGTTTTTACTGTATGTTTAGTGAAGCAGCGGCGGCGACGCACCACACTGTTTGTTTCATTGTATGTTTAGGGCGCAGGCAGGGGGGGGGGGTTGTAACTACCATGAGGCGCGGCAGGCCTTCGGTGCAAGCGTGGTGAAGCTGCCGTTGTGAATGATGGCATTAACTCTCATACCGTCATGTCGAGATGGTCAGCCTATTTGGGGGCGGGTCAGCCGCTCACACATGGACCCACTGCAGCGTAATGTGGTCACGGTGTACTTTGCATCGCGTAGCGACGCACCATGAGCGACTGTTTGTTAAACCGTTAAGCTAAACATGTATATGTTTACTGTATGCTGACTGTATGTTTACTGTTTGTTTAGTGAAGGGCCGGGGAGCCACTGAACATCTATGTTTACCTATACACTAAACAATGTATAACACATTTGTATGTTTAGATGCCGGTCTATCTATACATTAACCTCTGGGCAGGATGGCTGGATTTGAAACAGGCCCGAGCCCATATTTGTAAAATGAGGTCCGGCACTCTCTGAGCCGGCACCGCTTCCGGGCATTGGCGCGTGGCCCCCGAGCCGCTGGGATCCCTCCACAGCCCGCCACACCACCCACGGGACACCGTCCGGACCAGCAGCGGTAAACACGGGACGAGGCACACATGCGCACAAGCGTCCGACATACCGACAATCGCTGCCGCCTGCGCGGTGGCAGAGGCGGAGGTGAGGCGACGGGAGCGGCAGCAGAGGCGGCCTGGGTGACGTCTGACGACGGTGCGGGTGGCGGCGGTACGACGGCATGTGACGGCCGTGACTGACGGTGGTGGCGGCGGCGCGATCGGCGGTCTCGGCGTGGGCGGGGCAGATTTGGCGACGACGACGACGGAGGCAACGGAGGTGACGGCGGCGGCGACGGTGGCGGCGATGCGGCGTCGAGGCAATCACGCTCGGCGTGAGTGCTGGGGCAGGCCGTGTTGCGGTTTGGGCAGGCGAGCCCAAGGGCCTCTTGGGCCCTCGCGTCTCTCTCTCTCTCGATTCGTTACACCGATTCGACCATCAACGCGGCGGGCCGATTTCGACCCATCACAAATGTGGGAAGCCTAAAACCTCCTTTGGCTTCCCACACAACCCCCCCTTTCCGGGGGAGTAGCAAATGAGGTAGTCTCTGCGAAAACACTGTCCCAGTGCATTCGCCCAAGAGGCTTCCGTGTGTGGACTCGCAGCTCCGGCTGGGTGTCGGCGACCTAAAGCTCGGCGGTCGTCGCTTCGCGCCGGCCGACTCCCTGGTGTGTGTGTGTGTGCGTGTGTGTGTGTGTGTGTGTGTGTGTGTGTGTGTGTGTGTGTGTGTGTGTGTGTGTGTGTGTGTGTGTGTGTGTGTGTGTGTGTGTGTGTGTGTGTGTGTGTGTGTGTGTGTGTGTGTGTGTGTGTGTGTGTGTGTGTGTGCTCGAGTGTGTTTGTGTGTATGTTCGCGAGCCGATTTATAATTAGTTTGGTTACGGCCGTACCTACACTCTGGTACACGAGATCCAATATTAGTCTAGTGTGTAAGCCGGCCGGGGGCGGAGTTCGTCGGGTCTCTTCCCCCAGCGGGGCCTCGATTACCTAGTGATCCGGGCACATCCGGTAAATCGGGGTCAACTCTTCATTTTGTTCGTCAAGCACATCAGCACTCCACAGGCGGTCATGGACACACTCTTCGCACACACGGTTCACGCGCCTCACTCTGCACCTCTCCGGCCCCACACCTGTGGACAACTCTCCGCTAGCGAAGGCCACCACCTCCGGACGCGGAGGCGGCCTCGACCAATAAACAGCTCACGACTGAGCCCATGCGCTCAATCCAATCCCCCCCCCCTCCCCCCCCCCCTCCGCCACCACCACCACCACCCACCCACCCACCCACCTCCTCCTTCTGCCAGGCCCCGTGTGCACCGCGCGCCTCACCGCGCGCCTCACCTCTGAAGCGGCTGCACCTTGCGCCTTCGACCGACCCCTCGCAAACCGGCCCGCGCCCAGACGGCCGGCCAGAGCAGGCGATCGGCTAGACGAGGTGCGCCGAAGCGGGCGGCGCCATCTGCCGGCGGCGCCGCGCGGCCAGGGCGACGGCGAGGAGGGAGAGGGCGAGGAGGCCGACGGAGGGGAGGAGGAGGAGGGAGCCTGCGGTGTGTGGAGCGGCGGTGTGTGAACACGGGGTGTGAAGACGCGGCTGTGCAGCGCCTTCATTGTGTTGCGCGCACGCGAGGGTACAGGGAGGACGGGTGCGAGGAGAAGCGGAGGGCAGCCGTGCGCGCGCTGTCTCGCTAGGTAGACTTACTCTCTTCCACCCCGTGTGCCGCATGTAGCTTGCCCGCTGTTTACATTCCCTCGTAGTTGGTAATCATAATTAAGAGTTTCGGTGCCGCATCTCGCGCGTCAGTATTTTATGTTGCAGGCATTCACACCAGTCATAATTAGCCAATGATGTGATCAAGAGTTGCAGGTGCCGCATCTAGAACGCCGCGGACCGCGCGAGGCCTATCGCGTGAACGCACCACGATCAGGGCGTGAATCCGGCCTCGTGCCGTGCAGACATTGGCCACCGGCCATTCACAATGGCTACTGTATGGCTGAATGCAGCGGAGTCCGTGTCCTCTCGAGCGCTGGTCGGAATGCAAGAACACGCACCCCCATCTCCGGAGCAGTCCATCTCCCCAGATCTCCCCAGATCTCCCCAGATCTCCCCCGATCTCCCCCGATCTCCCCGGATCTCCCCGGATCTCAGCCATCTGGGGCGTGAGACCTCGGCCTCGGTCCCCTCGCCGCCCTCCTGCAGCGCCGCCGCAGACATCTCTTCGCTCACCGCGCTGAGGTACTGCGCGGCCTGTTCACGCAGACAGTGTTTATTAAAAGAAGATACAAGTCCCTCCGATGGCGCAGCGTTGGCGCTGCCGCGCTAGCTTGTGTGGAATGCGTGAAGTGCGTTCACACACCGGTGTCTCGGAAGCGTCTCGGAAGCGTCTCGGAAGTGACCCGCGGCGCCTGCTCCAGGTACTGCGTCGCATTCAGCCCCGCGACCTGCTCCTGCACCGCGAACACCGCCTGTGGACGTGTCCCGGACGTGTCCCGGACGTGTCATGGTCACCGGGACCAGCGAGCGGCACGGGGCGCAGCGGGCATCTCGGACCATCTTTTTGCGCTGTCTCGGTGGTGTCTCGGAAATATCTCGCGAGTCTAGTGTGTCCCGCAGCGCCTGCTCATTGTCGATCGCGCCAAGCTGTGCGTACGCGGAGGCTTTGGTCGCGACCGCCGCGTCCGCAGCCTCGTACACGGCCGACTGCGCCGCCGAGGCCGCACTCACAACCGTCGGGTAGTCGATGCTCGTGTTGCCGAGGACAAGTGCGGGTGCGCCGCTCACATTGAAGCCTTCAAGCTGCGTGATTATCTCCGTGGCGTTGATGGACGTGACAAAAGACGCCAGCGAGCCCCAGTCCATGGCTGCCACTGCGAGCGGCAAGGCTTCGTCAGCGCCAGCCGAGGCAGCGGCAGTGTGTTCAGCGCAACTAGGAGAGGCGGCGGCGGGTAGAGTGGTAGCGGCGCGAGCGGACCTGAAGGACCAAGGGTTGGTCGCCCCCGGCCGAAATAAAGCGGTTTCACGGGAGAAAAGAATTCTTAAGATACAAGCCTCTCTCACAGCACACTGGCACGACAAGGGCGCAGACTGGCGCGGACTGGCACACACACAGGCTCACCACCGGAGCCGCCTAAGCGACTCCGTTAAGAACGGCAATGCACTCCGCACCATGCACAATGCCGCTCTCCCCGCACGCTAGCTCGTTCACCGTCTGCCACGCCACGGCGGTGTGGAGGACGACAGACAAGCGCTGCATCTGCAGCCCGTGCCAGTTCTTGGTGGTCCATGTGACCTCGTCCAGGTGCTGAGCGTGCGAAAGTTTATTGCTCAGCTGGTTCGCCGCCTCCCTCAGGGTGCTGCGAACCTCCTTGCCAAAGCCTCCGAAAGCCTCAAAATCAAACAAACGTAGATCGCAATCCTGCTGCCGCGCAAAGGGGTAATCGCCAGGCTGCTCCGTGAGCTTTCTCTTGGGGGCATCCTCCTCCTCCCCCTCCTCCCCCTCCTCCTCGGCCTCCTCCTCCTCCCCCGCCACCGCCGCTGCCGTCGCTTCCGACGGAGACCACTTGCCGCGCCCTTTGACCAACTTGAGCAGCCCGGTCTCCGTGTTGCCAAAGCGCACGTAGGCCCCCTTCCAGCCGAGCTCTCCGTCGCCGGCCGTGTCCTTGCCCGTGCTCGCAAGCGAGCTCGTGAGCTTCAAATCGGCAACGAGGCGCCTGTGCCCCAAGAGGACTCCTCATGGCTGTGCTCAAGTGGGCTTCGACCGGCCTCGGCTGGGGGGGCGGGTTGTCCCGGCTGCGGACGCCTTCTGCAGCCCCCTGGGATGGGGACAGCACCCAAAAACTGCCCCCGGCGGCATACAGCACTGCCAGCCAGCCTCTTCCTCCTCCTCAAGGGCTGTACTATAGGCCATATTGCGCCGCCTCCTACTGGCAGCCGGGCGCGCGCGCGCCGCGGGCGCCTCGGCGCGCGCACGGCTCGCAAAGTTCGAACGAGTACTGCCGCCCGGCCGCCTCAAGGCTGCCGCCCGGCCGCCTCAAGGCTGCCGGGCGGCAGTACTCGCCTCGCAAGGCGCGCACCGGCTGATCTGGCTGCTGCGCCGGCGGCCGCTGCGCTGGCCGCTGCTGCGCCGGCTGGCGGGCGGTGCGGCCGCCGGCGGCCGCTGCACCCGCGCCTTCCCTCGCGGGCGCCGTCGCGCCGCGCGCGCCCAACTCTGCTGGCACACGGCACGCGTCGTCACTCAGCCGCGGAGAACAGGCGGTGCAGCGCGCGAAGCGCGCGCGATCTCGTACTTTTAAGGCTGGATCCGGCCATTCCAAGGGTATACCTTTGAGAATCCCCAGCGTCCCACCCTCCTAGTCACACTCTCAATTTCTCGACTGGCCAACACGAAGTGCTGCGATCGGGGGTGGCCCATTTTTTCCCCCTTTCTTTTTTTGGGCCCTGTGGGCACCCTACACACGGTTCACGTTAGACGTTTCCGTGTCCGCGCGGAGTGAGTGCGTCTAGACCGACCCCCGCGCCCGGGTCCGTGCTCCGATTTTATGAGAGAGAACAAAGGGAGTGTAACCTCCTCTAGTCTGACGCCGTGTGCAGAGAGGCTTCGTTCGGTCGCGATGGTGAGTGAGAGTGTGTGTTGATGAGTGCAGAGGACCGGCTGTCGAGGTGGATATCCTTTGGCCGCGTTGGGTAGCGAGGATTGGTGTAAAAGGAAAAAACGCCCCTCTCACAGCCTGACTGTTCTTCACCTTCCTAACTAACTAACTCTCACAGCAGACTGGCACGAACTAGCACCACAAAAGGCACACGAGCAGACAACGGCCCCTTATGGGCCGTCGTCTGTCGAAGAGGCCGTCATACTCTTCGGGGGAAAAGAATTTCCCGTGCGGCGTGCGCGGGCGGAAAAGAAATCGGGAAATGGTTAGTAATGAACTGTGTCGTCGTGGTTTCGTATCAAGACTACTGACTAGTGTGCTTTTGCCCATAGGCATCACCGCAGAGCTAAGGAAGACACAGCTGTCATGCGCACGCCTGGCACAGAGCCACATCCGGCGCGGCCTTGTCCGCTGCCCACTTTTGCACGGTGATGTAGCGGTTCTTTGGCGAGAGCATCTCTCGATCCGTCCAGACGCCCACCCGCGAGCGCGCACCGCCACCGGCCGCCGCAGCCTCGATCTCGCGCTCGCAGATCGCCTGCAGCGTCTCGACCAGCACTGCGTACGGCTCGACGCTCCTCTCCGCCGCCGACCTTGCCACCGCCTGGGGGGAGGATCGAATCGACCATCAAGGAGTGATTGCCGGCGTCCTCCGCCGCCGACGTGCCGCCGCCGCCGCCTTGCCGTGCGCGCCCTTGAGGCAGCACACCTCTCGCTCTCCGCTCGACACACCTCTCGCTCTCCGCCCTCTCTTCAATCTCGGCTAATCTCGCCACCCCAACCCCGACTCGCCTCTCTCGATCTCGATCCACGCCTCTCTCGATCAACTCTCTCACGGCCGCCGCCTTGCCGTGCGCCCCCTTGAGGCAGCAAGGGCATAGCGCCATCGCGTCGATCGTGCCTCCAGCGACCGCGAGAGATTAGCCGAGATTAGCCGAGATCAGTCGAGATTGGCCGAGACAGCATGTGCCTCCGGCGACAGCGAGGTCGATGAGGCGCGGCGAGAGAGCGCCGCAGAGGTGCATCCCAACTGCGACAACGTAGCTCGCGCCTGTGCACAGCTGCCGTCTCATTACTTCCTGCCCACTCCGATGCGCATCCCGGCGGCGGCAACGAAGGTCGCGCCCGCTGCCTCTTCACGCAACACTGCGGGCGTGTCCGCGCTGAACAAGTCCACGTGCCGGAAGGAGAGGTTCGGCCTAGCGGCGGCGGCAGGAGAGATGAGATGCGAGAGCCCTCCGCACCCGGCGGCGTGCCGAAATGGGGCGGTTCGGCCTCGCTCGCAGGTGCGAGAGGTCCATTCCGCCTGCAAGTTGACTCCAATCTTGATGAGTAATTAGCGAGTCGTTCCAGGCGCGAAGGGGCCGTCCCGCCTGCAAGTCGACTCCCCATCTAATTAACAATTATGGAGTAGCTCCAGTCGCGAGGGGGCCATCCCGCCGTTCGAGTCGAGCATCACGACGCGGGTAATCTCGGGTAATCTCGGGTAATCTCGGGTAATCTCGGGTAATCTCGGGGAATCTCGGGGAATCTCGCCGTTCGAGTCGAGCATCACGACGCGGCCCCTTGGGAGGAGAAAGGAGAGCAGCGTGGCGCCAAGTCCCTTGCCGGAGCAGACGTCGAACACGACCATGCCCTCGCCGCCGGACGACATTCGCTCGGCGCCTAGCCAGTAAGCCCTACTCAGCTGAGAATGCGCCATGCCCTCGCCGCCGGACGACGACCGCCCGGCGCCTGCGAGCGAGCGGACGGCCTCGCACATGCTGCTCGCCTCGCTCACCTCCTTGACGCGCGATCGCATGCAGAGGAGCCGGCGGAGCCGCTCGTCGAGCAGCATCGCCTGCAGAGGTCTGGGGAGAGGTGGGGAGAGGTGGGGTGAGGTGGCGGAGCCGTCCGTCGCGCAGCGTCTCCTGCAGAGGCGCCGCGTCGAGGAAGGAGGAGATGTAGACGCTGTCCTGCAGAGATATGGGGAGATGTGGGGAGGCGTGGGGAGGTGTGGGGGATAGGAGGAGATGTAGACGCTGTCCGACGCGTGCGCGCGCAGCCGCTCCACGATCAGACCCGCGGGGATCGTCCTCCTCGGCTCCGAAGACGCCGAAGACCCGTCTTTGGGAGCGCCGCTGCCGCCGCCGCCGCTTCCATTGCCGCCGGCGCCGCCGCCGCTGCTATTGCCGGCGCCGCCGCCGCTGCTGCTATTGCCGGCGCCGCCGCCGCTGCCGTTGCTGCCGCCGCCGTCGCCACCGCCGGCGCTTGCAACGGAGCGCTCGCCTTTTGCGGCGGTGGTGCCGACGCGTGCGCGCGAGGCCGCGGTCCCAAAGACGGCCGGCTCACCCCGCGTCCTCGTCCACCAGCCGCCGAGCGCCTCACGGACTTCCTCGGCGGTCGGATGGTATGCGATGCGGCAGCTGTCGCCGCGGCACGCGCCGGGGCCGTCCGGCGCGCAGCGGCCAAGCGCGCTGTTGATCGCCCGGCCGCACGCTCCTTGTAACACGTGCGCTAGTTTGCCGTCGCAGGAGCACGCGCCCTTGCCCGTCACAAACGGCCAGCAGAGCAGCGCAGCGCACGGCTGGCCGTTGAGCGTGAGCTCCTCGCGCTGCGCCCGCGCCGAGGCAAACTTGCGCTGGTAGGGGACGCCGGCGGCCAGCCAGGGCTCCTCGTTGCTGCGGGCGGCCATCCGCTGCAGCAGCGCGAGGTCTGGGCGGAGGCGACGGCTGGAGCGGCGCTGCACGGCGTGGGAGCGCCTGGAAAAAGAATTTGAGTAAGGTGTTTTTCCCAGCTGATTTCCCGCACATAACATACCCACAACTCTGTCTGGTATAGCCCCAGCCGAATCGCGTGAACAGAACTCTCGAGTTTCTGTTCACACCGAGCAGCGAGGAGCGGCTGCGGGGCAAATAGCAGCAGCCCACCACAACTTGAACTGCGCGGCTCGGGGTGCTCTCGTCGCTTCAGCACTAGTGCCACAACCTCTCATCTCACCTCAAGGCATCGAGCCAACAGGTCGCGTTGATGTTTGTGTTTTCAGCTGTGGGCGTGCAGGCCAGCCTCTCCGTCAACATCGTCACCCAGGAAGAGTGGATCCGCAGCCTCGACAACGTCGACGCCCTTCTCGCTCGTGTGCCGCCGGTGCACAAGGCGCGCTGCGAAGGCGTTCTGCGCGGGCTGAATCGGAGAGGCTTCTCGCAAGCCTGGCAAGATTGGATACTGTACCAAAACTTCTTCGCCGGCAAGGCAGCTGGCTTCTACGTCGATATCGGCACCAACGACCCGCTTCGGATCAGCAACACCGCCTTTCTGGACATCTGCCTGGGTTGGAGGGGCCTTTGTGTTGAGCCACAACCCCGCTATCACCGCGCAATCCGGTCGCAACGCTCCTGCGCTCTCCTTCCAAAATGTGTCATGGGTCGGCCAATGCGCATAAGACACTCTGGGCAGGGGGGAATCTTTAGAACTCGACGAGCGAGGGCTGACGCATCCAACTCGACGTCCATGCAATGCGTCGGGCTGCTTGACGCTTTGGTTGCAAACGGCCTGGAAGGTCGCACCGTCGACTTGCTCAGCATCGACATAGAGGGCAGCGAAGCCGAGGTGCTGAGGTGCATGCCGTTTGAGCGTCTTGACATCCGAATGGTCTTGATCGAGACGAATACGGCGGACCTTCGCGCGTTGGATGCCTTCTTCGGCTTCCACGGCTTTGCGAACGTGGCCACGCTGCTTCAGACGGACCGGACATGGCTCGACAACCTGTACGTCAAGCTGTCTTCCAAGCTCCGCCACCCCGGCAGAGCTGGAGCATGCTCCAGCGCGGACAAAGGCCTCACCATGTGTATGGGAGGGGGGGAGTGGCAGGCGTGGGCGAACCCAAAGGCCAGCGGCGCGTGGGGACCGTGCGGAGATTCCCCGTGATCATCTTGGAGCACTTGGAGCCAGCGTCGCGGTCACCGGCGAGAGGCGCCGCGGCTGCATTTCGAACACGCCACACTTCGACCACACTGACCCTCGACACTGACCCGTCGAGAGTCGGCGGCCATCACCACTCGTCGGCCGCCACAACCGAGCGTCGGCAGTAAATCTCACATCCATGGCCATGAACGCGGGCCCATCCTGGCGAAGGTACTTCCAGCCTGCTGTGGGAAACAGCTGACGCAGTCTCGCCAAAGCTCGCCCCAGCAATGACTCGGCCAGACTAAAACCCCTGGTGGGAGTTCAGTCCTCCCCAACTTTTTGTGTATCGCGCGCCTTGCGGCATCGCCATGGTGTGCTGCGAGTAGCGCCGGGCGACGACGACTTAATACCGCCTCCCGGTCCCCCTCGGCACACCTCCGCTGCTTAATGTTTGACGACTCAAACCCGTGAAGCTTCCCCGTGCGCGGGTTACCCCGCACACGGGTCAGCCTGCCAGCCACGTATCCACGCAATCGTGGCACGCACGCCGAGGATATTTTTTCGGCGCGCGGCATTCAAGAGTCGAGAGAGTGGCAAGCGAGGAGGGGGAGTGATGGCGTTCCCGTGGCTCGAGAAGGAGAACAGCACGTACACCGCGGCTCTCAACAAGGTCACGGAGGAGCGGCGCGACGCCCTTCTCGCAGAGAAGGCCCGTCGCATCGCCGAGGACCGCGCCGAAGACGCTAGGCGGCCGCTCCTGCCCATCAGCGCACGCACCGAGCCGCCTTAGCGCTGCAGCCCTCACGCCAGCATCAGCGCCGACGTTTCCCGCCTCCGCCACCCCTTTACCACAGCCGCCGCTGTCGCAGGATTGAGCGCGAGAGGGAAAGCATGGCGGCGCTGGCCGCGTCGGAGGCGACGGCGCAGCGGAAGCGGGCGGAGGACGTGGCGCGGCGCGAGGCGGCGGCGGCGGCACAGCAGTTGGCCACCCGCGACGATAAGATCGAGGCCTCTCCTCCGATCAAAGCGCCAGGCCACCGCCCGCTCGGGACGCGTCCGCGACACGTCGCGCCATGTTGAGCAGGCGTTCCGCCAGATCCGCGCCCGGGAGGTGCTGTCCAAGCACGCGCCGCCGCCCGTCTCGAGCCCCTGGAAGGGGCTGCACCACACCGTCCAGCTCGGCGGTGCCGGACACCTCCGAGACACGCCCGCCCGCCTCCCGACACTCACGCCGCCGCCCACCCTCGCCACTGCCCGCCCACCCCTCGCCACTGCCCGCTAGCCTCGGGATCACAAGACCCCTGCGACGCCATGGCGCCGCTGCGCCGCACCCAGCGCGCACCTCCGCCGCAACCGCCCGTGACATTCCGCCGACATGCCGCTGACATGTCTCTGACGTGTCAACGCCGCGTCCACAGGCGACGGCCTCTCCCCGAAGCCCGTCTTTCAGCGCTCGGTGCGAGATGAGCCGAGATGAGCCGAGATGAGCCGACCGAGAGATTGGCGGCGGCGGAACGGGGCTCGTCACTGTTGGGTGGTAGGCGCGCGGGCTCGCGCCCGTCGACGCTGCCGCGCGGCGCGACAGGGACGAGGCGACGCTTGAGGCGGCCGTCGCCGGCGGCAATGCCAGGCAAAGACAGATAGAGAGAGGAGAGAGCGAGCGACAGGAGGGGGGCGGGAGGGGGAGCGAGAGAGAGAGAGAGAGAGAGAGAGAGAGAGAGAGAGAGAGAGAGAGAGAGAGAGAGAGAGAGAGAGAGAGTTCGCCCTCTTTGCCGGCGGGGCCTCGCTTGCGCAGGTTGATGACAGGCGCGGTCCTGGTGGATAGGCCGGACCAAGTCGCCGCTCTCTCGGCCGCCGAGATCCGCAAGCGTGCCTTGGGGGGCAGCCGCCCGTTTTGAGTCTGCGCCCGCCCTCCCCCGGTGTGCCGGCCCGACTTTGAAGGCGTCGGAGTTGAAGGCTCCGCAGGCAGCTGACGTGCGTTTCGTTGTTCGTGATTGGGTTTTATATGCTCTTGAGGGTGGTGGCGGAGTAGCGCAGAGCGCTCACTTAGCGCGCAAGTGGTCGATGTGTTAGTGCAACGTCAGTATATGTACTACGAGTCGTAGGGGTGGGCTGACCGTGCCGTGCCGTCTGCCGATATTTTTCCGCCCGTCGAATTCGAGCGCAACGCCAACGGCGCGCTCTGGCGCATGTGAAGATGAACGAGTACGAGACGCTCGAGCCTCTCGAGAGTGAGAGTAAAGCGTAGATTCAACTATCAACATTCAAGCAGAACCGAACCAGAAGCACTTGTGGAGCCACGTTATTCATATTAGGAAATAATTATTCTCCAGGGTTGCCCTTTGATCCGGGCCCCAGCCTTACATCTCAAGGGTCACGGGGGTGACAACCACTCGAGCGTCCCCTGTGCCGACCGCCCGATTATTGCATGGCGAGGGCGTTCGCAGAAACAGCATATGGAATCGCTCCTCGCGCCGCTCTGCTCGCACGGCGCTTCCACGACGCCGCGCGCACGCAGCAGGTTCTCAACGCGCACCGCCGCGTTGCACGAGCCGTCGTCAGGCCAGGCTCCGCTGTTGGCGCCGTGGCCATCACCGTGCTCCCCAGACAATCGGCAACTGAACCACGCCCAATGCAAAGTGAGGACGTAGTGGCGCTGGTGGCGGAGAGGGGCTTTACGGGCACAGTCGAAACGTGCGAGCTCGTTCGCGAGGAGGAGACGCTCCCCGTCGTCAGGCACGAGCGTTACGTGCTCATCGATCTGCTGCGCGCGATGTTTGAGGAGGCCGACGCCAACGCCGACGGCATGATCACCGTGCCAGAGCTTGCGGGCTTCCTCTCGCGCCATGGACTCGAGGGTGCAACGGGGTGCATCTCGGTCCTGGTTGAAAATGGGCCAGAGCACAAGCTGGATTTCGGGGAGTTCAAGGCAAGATTCACGACACCGAGATCTGCCGTGGTTGGAGCACGATGTCGCTCATGGTCACCTCTCACGCCTCTCGCCACCTAGGCGCTGCTGCTGCGCACGAGACTCGTCGGCTTGCAGGACAATTCGGCCTCCGGGACTCTTAGCGAATACGGCGTGCACCGATCCCTCATGCACGTGGCGGCGGCCTCGATCTTTGATGTGGCAGACCGGAACAGCGACGGACGCGTAAGCAGAGGAGAACTTGAGGTGCTCTTTGCGAGCATGGGGCTGGGGGATGCAGAGCGAGCCGCAGCTAGTTTTACCGAACACGACGTGGACGGAGACGGCTCTATTGACAAAGGCGGCCTATAGGTGCGCCAGCCTGCTGGCGTTACGTCTTGACGACGCGAACTAATGCTAGTAGGCGAGTTTTTGCGGCTGCTCCTTGCGGAGCGTGTCCTCGACGACGCGCGGCCCCAGCGAGGGATATGGTGACTCAGGCTCGCCTTGTGGTTGAGCGTGGAAACTACCCGCGCTTCGATTGATGAGCACGAGCCCGAGTTTTTTGTCATTTTGTGGTGCAGCAAGGACTGTTCCGATGTTGACCATCTTATTGCTCATTTTGTTTAGAGTAGAGCAGCACGAACGCGGCACCCACACTCGCATCACGAGAAGGTTTTATTGGAGACTGTGACTCTAGTGTGCAGGGGCCGCGGTCCAGGGCCACGGTCCAGCGAGAGGCGTCTCTCAGTAAGCCCTGCAGAGCGCGGCCCTCGATCCTCTGCTCGAGCCGCACCGCGCGCTGCTGCGGCGTGTCGACCGGGAGCCGCGCCTGACCGAACGCTGCCGAGCGGGGTCGACAGCGCGGTACACCTCAGCCACCTGGAGGCGGAGCTGAGGGAGCGACCGCCCCCCTTCTATAAGCGGCACAGGCAGCCGGTGCCACAGAATAGCGCGGCGGAGCTCGTTCGCGCTGGGGTTTGCGCTGCCGGTAAGACTTTGGAGGAGCGCCTCGTCGTGCCTGGCCGACGGCGCGGATGTCTTCTTCTTCTCTGGCCAAAAGCTTTCGTCGGTGCAAGGCACGAGGAGAGCACCCGGCGGAGGTAGGGACGGCGGCAGGCAGCGGGGATGGCCCGTCGTGTAGAGGGCGGCCACTGAAGTGGCGTCGTCTTCTTCAAGGATTGACTCGTCCAGCATGATGGGACCGACACCCGCGGCGGCAATGGTAGCGCTGAGCATGATCTCGAAGGGGGTAACTTGGCAAGGATGGGACGGGACGTACGAGTTCCTTGCCCTTGATGGGACAGTTTTGTGGGCCAAAAGAATTGTACAAAGGCTCCCTCGCCAAAAGAAAGAATGTTACATCAAAGCGCAGTGTCGTGCAAAAGAAAGAAGGGGCTCGAGATGTGCTGTGAATGAAGCCTCCTCGGAGATCACCTGAGTTGTTTGGTATTGCTAAAAATCCCTCTCTAGGCGTGCCGCCCAGCCAGAACAAACACTGCTACTCGAGTACTTCATCCCCTGACTCATCGCTCTCCTCGGCCTCGTTCTGCGACGCCGCCGCCGCCTGCCGATCCCTTGCTCTCGCGGCTCCTCTCGCACCCAGCGCCGGACAGAGAAAAAGAATTCTTGGGTCCGCCCCTCGAGTCCCGCATTTGCTCTCCCTCGTCCCTCGCACAAGCATGGCAGACGCCACGGTGGTCGTGCTCGTCGTTACCCTTGGAGCTCTGTACCGCTGGCCGGACCTAAGGCCGGTGCGTGTTCGCCTGCTCAGATGGTTCGGAGGCTTCTTCCTCGCGTTGTTTGCCCTGACGATTCCATGGGGCGGGTACGCAGCGCAAAAAAGAAGCGCTCTCTACACCGCTGCCCAAGCCGGTAATCACCCTCGAGTCGTCGAGCTTCTCCAGTACCAGCATGTGCGCAGCGACATCGACGTGGGCAGGCGGATTGGCTTTGGTATGCTCCGCTCGGAAACGCCGCTGCGTGCTGCCGCCACGGAAGGCCACACAGAGGTGGTGGCGGCGCTTCTGAAGGCGGGCGCCACCGCGAACACTCCCGACACGCTTGGCCTCGGCATGCTCTTCTCGGACACGCCGCTGTTTGTTGCCGCCATTAAAGGCCGCACAGAGGTGGTGGCGGAGCTGCTGAAGGCGGGCGCCAACCCGAGCACTCCCTTCACGCTTGGCCTCGGCATGCTCTTCTCGGCCACGCCGCTGATTGCTGCCGCCTTTAAAGGCCACACAGAGGTGGTGGCGGAGCTGCTGAAGGCGGGCGCCAACGCGAGCACTCCCTTGACGTTTGGCCTTGGCATGCTCGCCTCGGCCACGCCGCTGGTATCTGGCGCCAAGAAAGGCCGCACAGAGATGGTGGCGGCGCTGCTGGAGGCGGGCGCCAACCCAAACACTCCCAACACGCTTGGCCTCGGCATGCTCGCCTCGGACACGCCGTTGCGTGCTGCCGCCAACCAAGGCCACACAGAGGTGGTGGCGGAGCTGCTGAAGGCGGGCGCCAACCCGAGCACTCCCTTCACGCTTGGCCTCGGTATGCTCGTATCGGACACGCCGCTGCGTGATGCCGCCGTCCAAGGCCACACAGAGATGGTGGCGGAGTTGCTAAAGGCGGGCGCCAACCCGAACATTCCCTCCACGTTTGGCCTCGCCTCGGAAACGCCGCTGCATGCTGCCGCCTTTAAAGGCCACGCGGAGATAAAGTCACTGCTGCTGAAGGCTGGTGCGGACTGAAAAAGTCGATGGAGAAGGAGGCGCTTGGCCGCACCGCTCTCGACGATGCCATCGATGTTGTGTAGCCGCGGGAGAGCTGATTGTGTAGCTTGCATGCATCCCTAGATTCGTCTGCTTTCATTCAGTGCCCAGTTCGTTTCTAAAATTCTTTTTGTGCGTAACGAAGAAAGAAAGAAATCAGTGGGCCCTAGGGAGGGATGGGAGGACGGCTCGCCGCCACTACAAGGAGCACTTGGAGCACTTGGAGTGTGCAGTCAGTAACCCCACGCCGCCGATATTTCTTTTTCCCTGACGCCCCGCGCAAATTCTTTTTTCTTGACGGCTATTTGGCTACGTTTTTTTTTTCTTCTTCTTCTTGCCTGATCGCCGTGCGATACATATCCCTTAGATTTTATGTTTTCTTTCTGTGCACATACATGGGAGCCGGGAGCCGGGAGCGTCGCTCGCCGCTGCGGCACACCAGCTCAAAAAAGGAAGGGTCGGGTTGGAGCCACGGACGGGGCTCACGTGCTCGCTCGGGGCGCCGCCTCACTCTGCGCCACTTTTTTTAGAGGCGTTGGCGAGGGCCGGTGAGGCGGCGCCCCGCGCGGCGCGTTCCTCGCCCTATTTTTTTTCACCCGCTGTGTGACAGGCCAGTTTTTTCACAGTGTTGTGCGAAAGAAAAAAAGAAAACGGGGAACCCAAGGGAGGGATGGGAGGACGGCACGCCGCCACCACACAGGGATTTTAAGGAGAGGGGTGTGGTGCGCTATCCGTCGCCCACCCTACCTAGGGCGTCCGGCTCTTCCTAAATTTAGAGAGTTGTTTTGTCTAAATCCTAAATTTTCCTATCACTCTTCGCGAGTGTGTGCGAGGAACGGATCATGGTGCGCGAGCGGAAGCTTAGCGCGAGGGGGCGCGAGGCGGCAGAGAGCGAGGCGGCGCAGAAGGCGCTCGAGGATGCCGAGGGGGTGTTCGGCGACGTCAGCTCGCTGCTCATGGCCGCCAACAGTGGATCAGTGCCAGACTGTGCAGTGAAGCGCTTGTCGGCAGCAGGCGGCGGTGGCAAGAAGCGGAAGCGGTCGCAAGCCGGGAACTGCGAGCACTGCGGCAAGCAGCTCCTCGACCTGGCGAGGCACCAGCGCCGCGGCTGCAGCGCGCTGCTCGGGTCGATCGAGGAGCGGCGGGTGGCTTGCCCGCACTGCGGCGTCGAGGTCGTCCCTGGCTACCTGGAGCAGCACCAGCGCCGCTTCTGCAGCGCGCTGCTCGGGTCGGCCGAGGAGCGGCGGGTGGCTTGCCCGCACTGCGGCGTCGAGGTCGTCCCTGGCTACCTGGAGCAGCACCAGCGCCGCTTCTGCAGCGCGCTGCTCGGGTCGATCGAGCAGCGGCGGACCTGCACCTGCACCGAGCCGGGCTGCGAGGCGCTGATGCTGCCGGCGAGCCTCCCGAGGCACATCGACCGCGTGCACCGCTCGCCGGAGGACTACCGCGAGTGCGGCGGCTGCGGCAAGCCCTTCGAGGGCTACGGGTTCAAGAACCCGTCGCTCCTCAACACGCCCAACATCTGCGCGACCTGCTCGCGGCGCGACTCGCGCCTCTGCTCGCCGACGGCTCGCCACGGCAGTAAACCGTGTCTCTTTACATCCCTAGGTCCGAGTACCTCCGCCGCAACGTGCCGTGGCCGGGCAACTCGTCGCACTACTACTGCGTGGTGTGCGACCGCGAGGGCGAGCTCGTCTGCGCCGGTTTCGACGGCCCTCCCGACGCCGCCGGCCGCTCGGCCCCGCACCAGCTCTGCTCAAAGCACGCGGTCGAGGCGGGCACCAAGTCGTCCCACAAGGCGGGCGCTTCGCACGCGGCGTGCGAGGCGCTGCACGTGCTCGCCAAGCAGGAGGATCTCGTCGTGCTGCGCCACGTGCACTTTGCGCCCGGCGAGGAGCCCGAGGGTGCACGCGCTCGCCGCCAACCCCCTCGCTCGCGGTGAGCAGCGCGCCTCTTCACATCTCCTTCCGTGAATAGGTTGGGAGGCGGGCATCCTCGCCGACCACCCTCGCATCAAGGTGGACGCGGTGTGCCGCCGCGCCTCCGACGGCGCGCTCGTCGCCTACCAGTTCCACGGCAACCGGTTCCACGGGTTCCCCCCCGGCAACCCGCTGCACGAGACGTTCGGCGTCGGGCACCAGTGGGGCCCGGCGCTGTGCAACACGACGCGCCGTGCGCGCCCCGCTCCGCCCCGCCATGCGCCCACCTCGGCTCGTGGCTTAGCCTCCTCCCCCTGCGCAGGCCGCACCGAGCAGTACATCAAGGGGCCGCACCTCGGCCTCGACGGCACGACCCGCCCCGAGGGCTACGTCGTCGTGGAGGTTTGGGAGCACGACTACATCTCCTACAAGCAGCAGGTCAAGGCGGCGCCGCGCGGCGGCGAGGTCTCCGCGCCGCCGACGCTCGCCTTCACCCAGCACGCCCACGACCCGGACCTCGACATGAGCGAGGCGGCGATGGCGAGCCGCGACGTGCCCGTCGACACGATGCCAGCAGGCGACCACGTGCGCTCGAAGCAGGCGCGCGTGTGCGCCAGCCTGAGCGCGCTGAGCGCGGCCGGCGACGGCCGCGTCGCTGTCAACCTCGCCGTCGCCACCGGCGGGCCCTGCCCGCTCTGCCGCCAGACCAATTCCGCGGCCAAGGCCGCGGCCAAGGCCGAGGCGGCTAGCGTGTAGGCCCGCGAGCCGCTTCCCCCGGCCGCCCGCCATCTCCCGATGGCGGTGCCGAGCAGAGGCGTTGCCGGCCGGCCATCGACTGGCGTGAGGCGCCTCCTCGGCGGGACACAGTTTGTTTGTGCGCACGTAGAGAGCGCGCGAGATTCGAGATAGATACTCGTCCACACCCTTAGAGAGCGAGACTCACGGATAGCTGAGCCCGCGAGAGGTTGGAGAGGCCGTGCCGAGACGCGAGAGACACTACACGGATGATAGAGACATACATATCGAGAGCCGTGGTTCGAGAGAGCGAGCGAGAACCGAGATGAGCGCTCACTCAAGCCGTTGCCCTACCATGCTAGAGCCTAGACGACCAGGCGGAAGATACGACACCGCGATTAGTAATACCAATTAGCATGATACTAGTGATTCAGGCGCGCGCGTGGGTGTGGGTGTGGAGTTGCGCGGGTTGCCCCGGCCCTCCCCCACCACGTTGAAAAATTACCTTACCTCGGGCGATCGAGAGATTCGTATCTCATCCCCGTCACGCTCGACGCACCGGCCACCGCCGAGAGGGAGAGCGAGACATACACACGACTATGCGTCGCGGCTCGCGGTACCACAAACGACACTGCTAGACGGTCGCTCAGCACGCGGAGCCGGGTGCACCGACGCGCACCGGCCCCGCCCTAGATGGAGCGTCAGCTCTGGTTGGCGCCGGGCGCAACGCCGAGCGGGTAGGAGATCACCCTTGCCCGGCACAAGCTGCAGTGGTTGGCCATGCCGCGGGCGGCGAGGTCGCGGGTACACGTATCGCAAGTCCAATGGCGGCACGGCTCCGCTTGCCGCCAGATGACGGGGACGCCGCCTTCCTCGGCGCGGCGCGCGGCGCGCTCCTTGCACACGGCGCAGGATGCCGTCTGCTCAATCTTAGAGCGCAACAATTCGCTGCGCGTCTGCAAGAACAGGATGAACCTGTAAAGGACGTAGGGGTGAAAGCGTTTGCCGTAGCTGCGACTCGTGTAGTGATCACGCGCGCAGCAGTCTTCGTAGTCGAGGTGGCGCAACCTCTTCTCGGTAGCTGCGATCGAGTAGTAGTTGCCCTCGCTGTCGCTCAGCAGCGCGTCGCGGACCAAGCGCTTGATGAGCGCGTGTCGCGACGAAGGCGTGTTGGATATCAGCTGTCGCGTTATTACTTCGGCGATCCGACGCAGCGTGTTCTCCTTACCAGTCCGCCAGGTCTGGATGGTGTCGAGGAGCTCCGCACAGCACAACACGCCCTTCAAGAAGAAGTGAAGGCTGCGCTCGGTCGGCACGCGCCAGGCCGGAGGTAGTAGCAGGCCGCGCTTGATGCGAAGCTCGCGCTGCTTGCGGCTGAAATTACCAGCCGGGGCGCGAGGCACGCGCGCCTCGAGCGGCGGCGCCATTACAAATCGCGGCCCCAAAGGGCGATGCGGCGGACGGGATTCTTTTTCTTTTTTCTTTACTTTCCTCCCTTCCCTCCCAGGTGGCGTTTATTTTTGCTTGGCCGGACATCATGATGGGGTAGGTAGGGTAGGGTCTGGGCCCTCCCGTCGGGTTTTTCCCTCTCTCACGCCGGAATTTTCACAGCAGAAAAAGAATTTTTCCGCCCAAATCACGATGTCAACCCTCCCCAAGTCGTTGATCTTTGTAGGGCTTGAGAGTTGCCATGTCACAGGAAGGACTGTGGTTGCAGGATAGTACCACCAGCCATCACTTTAGTTGGTATAGTACCCCACCTTCACCCACCCCGTGATTTCTTTTTTAGTTTCCCATAAGTAAGGTAGGTAGGTAGGTAGGTAGGTAGGGGCAGGGCAGGGGCCGGTCAGGTTTTTGCAGAATTTCATCATGATGTCCGGCCAAGCAAAAATAAACGCCACCTGTCCCTCCCCCATTATCCTCTTTCTCCAAACCCGCCGGGGAAAAAGAATGCCGTGATATCGCCCACGGCTGGGAGAAGGTTTTGCGCTGGGTTTTCTTTTTTCTCTGGCGGTGTGCCATCCTACACCTGCAACGCCCAAGGCTCATAGCTGCTCTCAAGTTCGCCCAAGGCGGTGTCTTCCTCCAGACTTCCACCCTCCTGATGCCGTCCAGGATCCTCCTGCAACTCAATCGACTCCCCTTTTGGGGAGGCGTGTAGCTGTAGGCGGGCCTTGGTCCACTGACTCCAGTCCCGGTCAGCGCCCAGCGCCGCTTGCCAATCCTCATCGCGCATGCTGGCAGGTGCTGCACTGAGGCTGGAACCCGCAACCTCGAGCGGAATCCACTCATAGCTCAGCGATGAGTCGCAACCTCCCTCCTGAGGCTTGCCCGTAGCTGGTGTGATGCGTTGCCTCGCGCTTTCCATGTCTGTGGCCGCATCATCCGCGTCGAGATAGCTGATTGGCACGTCGTGTCGACCGCGACCAGAGAGCTGAACCATGCGACTCTGGCGGCTCAATCTCTCATCACTGTTGCCGCTCCCGCCCTGTTTGCAGCCGCTGTCACGCACGCCCTGCATAAATTCGCCGCAGCTCTTTCGGCAGTCTCCGCTGTCCTCACCCTCGCCGCTGGAGCCACGGGGTGATTTCTCCTACTGGTGCCCTTTTGTACAAATGATCCTCACTGGTAGTCCTTTGCTGTTGAGAATTCTTTTTGGTCGAGTGCGCGCCAGTCCCGTGCCCAGTGTGGTGCGGGCTTCTAAAAAAATTCGCATGGCCCCTCGCGCCGCCCGCGGAGCACGCTCGCTCAAGGCGGCTGCCAAGGCCTCGCGTGGCGCCGCCTCAAAGTTCGAGGCCGCTCCCGTCGAGCGCAAGCGCCACGATGTGGTCGGCCAGCGCAAGCCGCGCGCGCCAAAGTCGTCCAGCGCCGCTCGGAAGCGGTCCGAGGCGGAGCGGCGCGAGACGCTGGCGGTGGAGTACCGGAACCAGCACCGTAGCAACGTGCTGATCGATGGCCGCTTTGGCGAGGCGGACGACAACCTGCCCGCCGAGGAGAAGCACTATGCGCGGCTGCAGCGCGAGAGGCTTCGGCAGGCGCGCTCGTCCAAGTTTGCGCTCGAGGAGCCGTCCGCGGCGGTCGAGCTGACGCACGGCGGGCGCTCGCTCGGCGAGCTGGAGGACGACGAGCTGGCCGGCGGCGGCGGCGGCGGCTTCGGCGCAGACGACGACGATGCCGGGGCGTTTGGCGCCGACGACGGATTTGGCGGGTCCGACTTTGTTCGCGCGGTCAACTTTGGCGGAGGGTCGGAAGGGGCGCTGCTGAGCCAGCGGGAGGCGCTCGACGCGGCGATCGCCAAGCACAAGCTCGCGCGCCTCGACCGCAAGGAGGAGCGGGAGCGGGAGCGGCAGCTGTAGATGCGCAGAGAGGTTGCCTCTGCGTCCTCGCACCTCTGTCCATCCGAGACCACATACCCGCCGCCGCCGCCACGCAGCCTGCCATCCTTTTGCCCACGCCGCCCGCCTCTGTGTCCGTTCCCCTCTTCCGCCCGAGACCACACACCCGCCCACTCTCAGGCCAACACCGCCCGCCGCCCCCGCCATCCCTTTGCCGACACCGCCACCCTTCGCCCACAGCGCCACCGTTTTGCCGACGCCACCTGTGCCTGTGCCTGTGCCCCCGCCCCTCAGGAGCGGAGCCTCGTAGACCGGCTGGACGCCGACTTTAGCGACGTGCAGTCGCTGCTGCTCGGTGGCGCCGCCGGAAAGGCGGCGGCCAAGCCGAGTGGGGCCGGCAAGGCGGGCGGCGCGGGAGGCGAGGGCGCAGCATCGTACAGCGACTACCACACGCTGCTGGCGGCGATGGGCGGGGAGGTCAAGGCGCAGCCGTCGGACCGGCTAAGGGGCCTAGATGCGTGATATCTCCCCGCATCTCCCCGCATCTCTTCATATCCCAGGCCCTAGAAGTGTGATATCTCCCCGCATCTCGCCGCATCTCTTCATATCTCAGTACTCCTCAGCCCTTCACCTGGCTTCACACCTCTTCACACCTCTTCACATCTCCCCACATCTCCCTACATCTCCCGGCATCTCTGATTGCTTCCTAAAACCAGGCTTCACACGGACTCGGAGCGCGCTATCGCCGAGGAGAAGCGGCTGAGGCTCTCCGAGAGGCCGGGGCGGCGAGCGGCAGCTGTGAACGGCGCCTCTTCACACCTGCCGCTGTGAACAGGCGCCAGGGTCGAGGCGGGCGTACGGCAGCCGTGAACGGCGCCTCTTCACACCTGCAGTCGTGGGTAGGCTGCTAGAGGAGGAGAGGCTGCGGCGGGCGCTTCCCGGCGGCGACGCCGACGCCGACGCTGATGGCAGCGGTGGCGGCGGCGGCGGCGGTGGCGACGGCGTTGGTGGCGTTGGTGGCGCTGGTGGCGGCGGCATGCGGCGGCGCACTGACGACGAGGAGATAGTGGAGGTGGAGGGGCGGGGCGGGGGCGGCGGGCTGGTGCTGGGTGCGGACGGGCTCGTGGAGGAGGGGGAGGGTGGCGGCGGGGAGGAGGAGGGGGAGGGGGAGGAGGAGGAGGAGGGGGGCGAGGGCGGCGCAGCGGCGGCAAGCGACGACGACGAGGCGGAGGAGGAGGAGGAGGACGACGACGACGTCGACGACGACGACGACGACGACGAGGAGGAGGAAGCAGAGGAGGCCATCAAGATGCGTCCGGCAGCGGCGGCGGATGCGGAGGCTTTTCGCGGCGGCGACGACGACAGCGACGACTTCGACGACGGGGAGGGGCTGGAGGCCGGGGAGGAGGAGGGGGAGGCGGAGGGGGGGCAGGAGGAGGCGGAGGAGGAGGAGGCGGAGGAGGAGGAGGAGGACGGGAAGCGTCGCGGCACGATCGGCTCTGCTTCGCTCGCGGCGCCGCCCCTATGCCTTCCCTTTGCCGGCCACGTCTCAGCTCTTAAGCGCGGCTGGCCTGCGCGCTGGTAGGCCCTGCCCTTTGTCATCCCTTGCCCCGCCACCTCTTCGGAGCTCGACGCGGTGCTCGCGCTCGGCGGCGGCGGGGCGGAGGCGGTAAGGGAGGCGCTGCACCGAGTGCTTGCGGGGGCGCACATCAGGCTGCGGGAGGCGATTCCGAAGCTGAACTAGTGAATCATCAATTGGTAATTACTTTTCAGGCGCACATCAAGTTAAAGGAGGAGAACCGACCGAAGCTAGCGCGGCTGGCGGTGCTCCTGCTTCGGAAGCTCCAGGCCCTAGCGGCCGCGTCGCCGCCGCGGCTGGGAGAGACGGCTCCGCTCGCCGCCGCTCTGCGCTCGATCGCGGCGCAGGTGCCGCTGGAGGTTGCCCAGGCGTGCATCGAGACGGTGTTTGGTACTTGACGGCTGGCGCATCATGAAACAGGCGCCGCTGGAGGTTGCCCAGGCGTGCATCGAGACGGTGTTTGGTACTTGACGGCTGGCGCATCATGAAACAGGCGCCGCTGGAGGTTGCCCAGGCGTGCATCGACCGCTTGCTTCCTCTCGCGGCGCCCCAGCGGCATGCCGCTATCTGTCTAGACCCCCACCGCTTGGTCGGTTTACTGTCTGCACATGCACCGACACAGGCGCGCCTCGTATGCATGCTCCACTCACGACTATTCCCTCACTCTCCTCCCCC